TTTAGAGGTGGAGGAAAAAATGATAGTTTTGTCTTCATTTTCTTGGGTCTTAAATATGATTTATTTTATTGCTGACATAGCAGATTTTATAGCCCATCAACTTGTTTTTGTTTGCTGACAGAGAAACATAGCAGTCTTGCAGCAAGAAATATTGGAATTTTCACAAAGGCTTCATGCAGCAGAGATAGAGTCCCGCTCACTGCACCTGCAGCTTGCAGAATGCAGATGGGCTTTCAGTGAGATGCAAAAAGATGCTGAAAAGGCCCACAGACTGCAGGAGCAATTAAATGAACTTCAGCATGTAAGTACATTTGATTTGGAGGCTCTCTTGCTTAAAAGAGATTCTCCTTTCTACACATTTTTGATTTGTGTCCTTTTCGAAAACAAGCATAAAATTGATTTACTTTCAACAGAATTTTGCAGAAACCTTGCCTTGTAAATATCTCTAAACTAGAAGACAGATGTATTTAGAAAGACCCCTTTTCCACTGGAGTTTCCTTTTGATTTGTAGAAGGAGGTATCCTGTATAAAATGCAGTTTGGTGTTCATCAGTTTAGGTTCTCCCTTTTGTTGGAAATGTTGTGATGATTTATGTATCCTAAAAGAAGATTTCACTTCAACAGAGTAAAGTCAGCTGGAATGAGGGTATTCAATAAGAATGTTTATGAGAAGTTCATTAAATATACATATAGCAGTTTAAACTCTGTATGGATGTTGATGAATGTTATAATAAATACAATACAAATTTTAGTAGGTCTGTTTCTCTGAAGAAGTAACTTTATGGTGGGGGAAAAAAGCCTTTTCCTACGTTCTCAGTAACACAAATGCACAAAATTCTCCTGAGTCTTTTACTGTTGCTGATTAACTTACTGAAACACTGTGGGTTCCCTAACCTGAAGCCTAGTTGGTAGAACCTGGCAATGTGTCCTAATCCAAACAGTTCCAAGCAGATAATATGCTCTAGATGATGTCTCACTTATTGTCCTTCCTGTTCCTATCTAATAAAATGGATTTTTTTTTTTTTACTCCAAAATATCTAATCATCTTCAGTTCTGTTCTCAACAGGTTTTATTCCCTTAGTGCTTTGGGACAATTAGATGAAAATTTTATCACATTTTACTATCACATTTTAGATTGTAGTTGAAATGCAGATAATGATTTTCCTTGAAGAATTATTTCTTCTTTCTGGAACAGTTTTTGGAGGAGAAGAACAATCCACAAAGGTGTTTACAAGGATTAATAAGCTATCCACTAAAATTTTGATCATTGATCTGCATATTTTTCCTTCTAAATATTGAGGTTTTGCATCCTAGGGTCCTAATTTGAATAGAATAATGAATGCCAAGACTTTACATGAATGTTCTTTATAAAAAATACAGTAATTAACTGGTCTTCCGTCTTACTGTTCAGTGATCTGTCTTCATGTTAAAAAACCCTCAATACTAATCCTAAGCATGCATTTGTTTTAGAATTTGGTATGTTGGCAAGTGGAACTCACTCAGTGGTAGGGAAACCACTGAATATAGTTACAGAATCAGGCACAACTTGTTCTTCTTTCCAGAAAATCAACCAAGACAATATACATGAGGAGTTAGATAATGCTTTGCAGCGTGAGCAGGAGGCAAGATTGCTTTTACAAGAACACCAGCGACGGCTTCAGGAGCTGAGTAATAGACTGGAATTGCACTCATTTGCCAGCCCAGATAGAAGCCAAGCTGCTAATGTATCTCTGCTGGTAAGCCTATTCTTCTGGAACAGTCAACAGAATTTTACCTTTTGTTAAATAAGCCAAATAGTATAGTCCTTGTGAAAATAAAGTAACAGGAGTAAATACACACACGCTACTCAGTCTGATGGAATTTTAGGCTACTGAGAAAACACTTCAAAGACTCCTTTTAAATTTTTTTTAAAGCTATCTATGTTTTATTTTTAACGATTTAAGGAAAATACTTCAAGGGGGGTTTGTTTTGGGGGTTTTTGCCTACAATAATTTTGTTTTCTAAAACACATTTATACATAGCAAATATACTAAAAACTAGGGGTTTCTGAATCAGTAATGCTTTTTCTAGGAAATTCATAAAACCTTTGTATGCAGTGGTCCAAATCTACTTCGCAATCAATTTGTCTTCCACGTTGGTCAGTAGCCAGTGGCATAAAGTGAAGTTTATTTGGGCTAAAGAGTAACTCTGCTCTCTGTCTGCTGTGGCAGAACCTCTCTAACACAATGGAGCAGCTGAGGAGCAGAGACCAGGTTCTGTATCACCAGAAAAGACTCCAGGAAGACACGGAGCAGGACCAGCAGCAGCTTCAGGAGACTCTTGAGGAGGCAGAACCTGCCCTCAAACTGGGAGTAAAGTGAGCACTGGGGCCTGGGGGATGTCACTTAAAGTAAATAAAAATTTAAATTCCTACTTCCATGGGCAGGGTTTTAGCCCTGTACAGTGTAAGGTTAGAAGAGAAAAGTACATATGTCTCTTTTATTTTTAAATTCAGGGATAGTCTTCTAAAAACAAAAGTGTTAGTTCAAAATACTAGGTCATACATTTTATGCAGTTATCCCATAATAGTGCTCCAAATTCTGGGTGCTGAAATAACTAGCAAACAAAATACCTGTTCTATCTTACTGCTCTGACAACATCTCTTTGGCAGATCCTTAAAGTTTTGTTTACTTAGGAAATGATTGCTTGTTCTCTGTGTTTCCACACCATCTTTTTGTAGACAGATACAATTTATTTATAGTGAATACAGAAGCATCAGATAGGGGACAGGTCTTTGCCACCAAAGGTACTGAAACCCATTTTGGACCTAGCCTTTCCTGTGGTACAAGATAGATCTTTGTTCTGATTTCAGGGAGTTTTGGATTTAGCCCTAATCCCCACACCCCTACACAACAACCCTGAGTGAAGGGAAAGGCTCAGGCACAGGTCTTGAAAAGTCAAAAGGAGCCCCCTTGACTTGAAGGAGGTTATTGCTAAGCTATTTTTACACCATGTGAAAAATTAAATCTTTGCAGATTTTGTTTTCTAATACTTATCATAGCATGAAATATGTATTATGAATATTGTTGTTCCATGGCTAGGATCTAAAAAAAATTAGTTAATTAAAATTTCTCATCATACCTGGGATTATTCAACCCCTGAAGAGCAACATCTGAGAAGCTTTAAGGGTTTTATGCACCAGAGATATAATGCAATTTGCATAGTCCCCAATGAAATATTTACAAGCTAATTAAAATTATCAAATCATACCAAATGATGGTAGGATTTGATCAAAGCAAGTGTCACCTGCAGAAGGACTTGTTCTAGAAAGCATTCCGTTTTCATCCTGCCCCGATCTATTTTGGGCATTTCAGTAAAGAGCATTCCTTGTGGCCATACATATATCCAGTAAAGGTTATTTTAATGAAAAGTGACTTTAAAATTGGCATTTTTTCCCTGTATAGAGCAGCTGAATGTCAACCAAGAAAGCTACCCTTCCCTTCATTATTATAGCAACTCTTCACAACAAATAGGGTTTTTTTCTCCTTTTGGAACATATAAGCAAAGCAGATGAAATAAACAGAATCTGTCTGTGTTTTCCAATACAAGAATATAATACCACCCTGCTAGAGACTTTTTATGACCTCTATATCCAAGCCATAATACTTGTTCATTGATAGACCTATAATTACATCTACTTGAATTGCTTATCCTCAACAGAATCATCTTTCATATAGAAATGCACCAAATAGTGGTACCTTAACTATTTTTAGGGTTTGCATTGGAGATATGAAAAAGAGAGAAAATCTGAACAGTTTATAACTGTTATAATAATCAACAATTATTTTACAAGACATGACCTCCATAAAGTAGCAGAAGATTAATTTCTACATTGGTAGAGCTTCAGTTCCATAAAGTTACTCCATTATTTTGTTTTGTTTTGTTTTTTCTTTTATAATAGAGACAAAGAGTTGCTCATCAATCATATGAAAGCTGTGGAAGACGCCCTGAATGAGGTAAGAATTGGAAGTGTTCCCTCTGATTTGTGTTTCCAAACACGCCAAAGCCTTAGAACTGCTTCTTCTCAGGGGAAGAGAGAAGTTGTTGCAAAGCAACTTCCTTTTCTTAGTGTTGAAGTTTCCCTGCTTAGCTTCTTCCATCTTAATAAACCACAGTGAAATAAAATGCAAGTTTGTAGTACACACACAACTTGTTCTAAATGTAGAAGTTATGCCAAAATCCACTTTCCTTCCCTCACTGAGCATTATTTCTGGTTGACAAGTGAAGACTAATGGAACACACAAATTTTATGGTTAATCCTCTACTGAATAATGAGAGGTCACATACTTGGTGGCCATATTTGGCTTTGTCTGCTCCTTTAGCTTATGAAACATCATAAATAGGAAAAGAAAAGGCAGGAAATCATAATCTTTGGTCAGAAACTTCTGTGGTATTTTTTAAAATCATATTTTAAACTTAATAGTAATCTCAAATTTTCCCTCTGACTTGCACAATTGTGCCCTGTTATAGGACTATTTGAAGGTCTAATGAAGATGTACATATTAATTATTTAGGAGAAAGGACTATTTTCAACTCTAGCTCTAAAGGCAGATGGTTTCATAACTTTTTAATCTAGAGCAGCATAGAGCAAAAGAAGTGTTTTCATTACCTTGGAGTGTTGATTTCCCTTACTACATCTTTAATTCCTAGCAACATGGGATTATCTTCTTTATTTTAGTTTCTGCGTTCACCAAAACTGTTGTTAATTATATTTTCAGATATCTTTTTCAAGTCTCTTTCCTTTAATGTTCATAGAAAATGACAGAACCTAAACTGCATTTATCACCTACAGCAAACTGTGCTGATAGAAAATTTTCTTTGGGCCACCACCAGCTTCATACTGGCTTCTTTCAGACTTTGGAAGTGAATGTCATGCAGCAACTGCCGTGTTTTCACAGTAGTACATATGTGCCATGTCCTTGGCCGTTCTCTTTTCTGACCAGGGCAAGGTGCTTTTTTTATTTTCTTGGTAGCATTCTCTCCCAGCACTGTGAATTAGAGATTTATTTGCAATGAAAATTCAATCATTTGTACTTTATTCATGGATGTTAGGTCCGGTGATCAATGCAAGTCCACTCAATGGGCTCAAGGGGACCCAGTTCATCCCAGCTGGTGTGTCTGAAGGAGAATTACCACTGGTACTGGGTTTTTTTGCCCTTTAGGCCAAAGAGGAGGCCGTGGCAGGTGCTGCAGCAGCCACGCCGCTCCCCAGCCTGCAGCTGGAGACCCTTTCAGAGGAAGCAGTGAGGGGCAAGCCAGAGGCTTTGTCGTTCCAGGTTAGAGTCTAAAACCAATCCTGTTTCATTTTTTCTGTTTTAATTTTCTTTCATTTTTGGTATCTGAGACACAACAGGCAGATAGACTGCTCTGAGCATGTGGAGAGCAAAAAGCTTCAAAACGATTACAGTCAACAGCAGAAAAACAATGTCCATGTATACTCTTGCACATGGTATTTCAGAGATGATGGTAACTTTTAATTTTGCAGTTACAGCGTCAAATAACTGATGGGAATACAAACATGGACAGAAGTATATGTACCTGAAAATTAATATCCCTCTATCTCCCTCTTTTTTTTCCCATTAATATACACAAGACTAATTAAAAAAGAAAAAAAATAAAACACAAACAAAACTAAAACCAAGTAAGGTTCCCACAAACAAACAAAACCAACCAAATAAAAAATACAAGATTTTCATACTCCATTTTGGTCAGTATCAGATTTTTTTCAACCCACAGTTCTAGAATAAATTATGGAGTTTTGAGCAGTCCTCATTTAAAAAACCTGATATTTAGAATGTTTAATATAGAAGCTATTTTGCTCATGTAGCTTCTATATAAATATAATAATTGTATTTATTATATTAATTTATTATAAATATAATTAATATTATATATAAATACTGATTTTGTTAGGACAAAAGAATAAGTAGGAAAAAAGATAAATTAACAGAAAATGTACCATATTTTTGGCTCTAAACATAGATTCAGTGGATTCAGTGCAATGTCTCCTCATTGTTTTTAAGTTTGATGTCTTCTGCAGAAACTATCCATTAGTCTTTATAGCTGTGCAGAATATATTAGTGTCAAGACAGATTTTTTTCCCAATGGGAGAGCAAAAGGCAGAGTGAGTCATATTTCTTTCATTGTACTTCTCTGTCTGAAGAGCAGGTAATCGAGTAAATTGCAAGGATCTTAGACAAAATAAGTATTTCATACAGTGTGTAAGTTTCTGCAGTAATGCCTTACAATTTGTTCTAGATTTTCTGTTCTAATGTAGTATAAAATTGCAGGATCAGGGTCACAAAATCAAACGTTCAAGAAAGATAGATTCTAAGCTGTAAAATTCTCAGTGTTGCTCTCTTGCATGCATACATGCCTGATAAAGATATAAATTATGTATGTATTATCGTGTTTCCGCACTAAAAGATGGAAATACGGAATATGCAATAATTTGAGATTCCCATGAGGCTTAATTAGCACAGATGAACTTTTCCATCAAAGGGTAGAATTAAAAATGTTTTCCCAGTACAGTGATCCATTTTAGAGCTGCACAAAAGGTTCCATGTGTGGCATCTTTTCACAGGAGGCATTGTTGCAATCACAGGTTTTAAATCCTGCTTTTCTAATTCGGTAGTGGATGCAGCTTCTTTTTTCTTTTTATCCCATCCCAACTCCCATTCTTTTTGACCTCAGAATGATTGCAGAAGCATCTGCAGCCTGTTCCCTCTTTCTCTCCTGAAGAGAATCAGAAATACAAAAAGTCTAATTTCATATTTGCACAAAGTGCTTGTGGTATAATTAACATAGTAGAGTACATGCTGGGGAGCTCGCTGCTGGGACAGACTGGTAAAGTTCATGTTCACCTGGCAGCCTCAGGTGCACTTGGTAACTCAGGACATATACAAACAGCACCAATGGCTCACAGTCTGTGTCACTGTGAACTTCCTTTTCTCCATCCATTTTCCTCTTTCTCCCTTTCCCCATCTCTCTTTCCACCTTTTCCCTCTCTCTCTTCTGCCCTCATCTCTACTTCCTGTTTGATTCCTTTCCAAGCTCATTATTGAGGTTTTATTATGAAATTTGCCTTTTATAGACAGAGGTCACCTAATGGATTTTAGTTTTACTTTATGCCAAACTGTATGAAGGGCAATCCTGCAATCTTGAGTGAAGTAACGAGTTAGGAATCACTTTAGGAGCACTTGTCATTAAAAGCAGTGCAGTTGTTTGCAGACACATCCTCTAGAACTGCGTTAATTAGTCTGTGGTGAGCACAATTCAATTAAAGGCCTTATAATCTGCAAGAATCCTCTTTCAGAACTAGAACCACAGCACCAAGACATTTTGTAGATTCTTTCTGATGACAAAAGATGTGATATGGGTTGGTTTGACACTGCTGGTTCCTAGAAACCACAATGAAATAACCTGATTGAATTTAGCAGTGTTAACAACTATTCTGAAAATCAGCAATGAGAAACCAAGGAAAGAAAAAAACTACAAAAATCTTTGTAAATCTGTTTGTGGTAATAAGCTGATTTTTGTCTGTATCACAAGTTTACATTCAAAAGATCAGTGTCATACTATCTGAAGGGGAAAATAATCACAAATAAAATGTGATTAACCATTGTAAAGAAGACCAATAAGTTCAACAAATAGTTGAGACTACTTGAGATACATATAAAGTTACCAGTACTGCCAAATCATCTGTGCTCTTTTGTCCTGCTAATTTTATCATTAATCCAATCAATATAACAAAATTGGGACATTTTTCCACTGCATACATGGAAATAGTTACATTTTTCCAATTATAGTGCAATCAGATTATTTGTTTGCAGAGGTCTGTAGGTTTGTGACGTTTCTTCTGTTACTACCATTTTTTTTTCCCCCCCTTGTGGAGTGGAAGGATTAATCAATTGACTCATCTTGGAAGTGTGAACATTAGCCTGAAACTGTGTGGTCATTTTTTGTGAACAGAAATTGAACCTGCACTAAGTCTTGCATTGAAATAAAATGAAAAAATTGTATCAAGAGCTCAATGCTGTACTGCATACTTGAAAACGTCTCATCAAAGCATCTTCTTACTAGGGTGTGGACTCATTCTCTGCTCCTCAATGATATCAATATTCAATATTTTAGAAAAAATACAAAATCCAGCGTTAGATGTTTTGATGTTTAAGTCCTGGGACTGACATTATGCCTGGCTTACAATCTGTATTTGATCTCTTTGTTAAAATAAATGTTTTGTCTTTTGTAAAAAATTTGGATGTGTGCTATTTGGCATTTAAGTGTAGCTTGCCTGGCACTAATGATTCCTTCTACTTTTATTTAAAGCACGTGCTTAGACACTTTATGGATCTCTACTCATTGGCAGCTTCCAAAGTTAAAGCATTAACATCAGGAAGGGAATCTTCACAGATTCACTTTGAACCCTTAACTGCTGAGCCTCTTACTCCTGCTGCTGATGGTAAGTCTGCTTTTCAAGTAATTGCAGTCACTTGGATGTGGGTTGCCAGACAGCATCTCCCTTCATGCTGCACAGCTTCTGTAGGCAAATACAGCAATACTTGATTGTAATGATAACGGAGAGCAATAAAATTAGTGCAAAGAGAAATGTTCTGAGACAATTTTCAAAAGAGAAAGAAGATAGTGAAACCTAATACAGGGATTGAAATTACTATTGTAAGCTTTCTTCCTACTGGTTGCTATTTGATTGTGCATTTTTGGTTTAAGTTCAGATTTGTTGCTTGATTGGTTGGATTCTGGGTTTTTTTGTTTTGGTTTTTTTTTCTGGTTTTTTTTTGTTTTTTGTTTTGTTTTGTTTTGGGGAGTGGTGAGTGGGTGGGTGTTAGTTTGGGGATTTTTTTTATATTTCTTCCCTTCCTTCCTTCCTTCCTTCCTTCCTTCCTTCCTTCCTTCCTTCCTTCCTTCCTTCCTTCCTTCCTTCCTTCCTTCCTTCCTTCCTTCCTTCCTTCCTTCCTTCCTTCCTTCCTTCCTTCCTTCCTTCCTTCCTTCCTTCCTTCTTCCTTCTTCTTCCTTCCTTCCTCCTTCCTTCCTTCCTTCCTTCCTTCCCTTCCTTCCTTCCTTCCTTCTTCCTTCCTTCCTTCCTCCCTTCCTTCCTTCCTCCTTCCTCCCTTCCTCCTTCCTCCCTTCCTCCTTCCCTTCCTTCCTCCTCCCTCCCTCCCTCCCTCCCTCCCTCCCTCCTCCTCCTCCCTCCCTCCCTCCCTCCTCCTCCCTCCCTCCCTCCCCTCCCTCCCTCCCTCCCTCCCTCCTCCCTCCCTCCCTCCTTCCTCCCTCCCTTCCTTCCTCCCTCCCTCCCTTCCTTCCTTCCTCCCTCTCTCCCTCCCTCTCTCCCTCCCTCTTTCCTTCTCTCTTTTTTATCTTTCCTTGTCTCTTTCTCTTTCCTTCTTTTTCTTTATTTTTCTTTCTTTTTCTTTCTCTTTCTTTTTCTATACTTTGGTTTTTTTTTTACCAAAGCGTTTTCCTTTCTTTCTGTTATAAATCATTAGCTTTTCTGTAACAGCCTGTCCTTGTGCCCTAAAGCCCTTCAGTTCTGTCCATTTCCTTGCTTTTTCACATTTACTTTTTTTGAATAGAATCCTTGCAAGTTCACTTTTCCCTCAAAGAAGCTGGTTCCCCTCCTGCTGGTGCTGCTCCTTCTGCTCCTGATGGTAAGTCTGCTTTTCAAGAAATTATAGTTTCTTAGATGTTATTTTCCAGACAGCATCTCCTTTCATGCTGCTCAGCTTCCATAGGTAAATACAACATTACTTGATTTTACACATAATGGAGCAATAAAAGTAGTGCTAACTGAAATGATCTATGACTTTTCAGAAGAGAAAGGGGATGGTGAAAGATAAAACAGGGATTAAAATTGCTAGTGTTACCATTTTTTTTCCTCTATTGGTCCTGATTTGCTTAGGTTTTTGTTTGGGTTTGGTTTGTTGAATCTTTTGTTATTGGGTAGTTGTTGTGGTGGTTGGGTGGGTATTTTCATTTACAGTTTTTGATTTTTGTTATTATTGTTTTCCCTTCCCTTCCCTTGATTTTTTACTGAAGTCTTTTTTCCTTTCTTACTCTTAGAAACTATTAACATTTCTGTAATGGCCTTTCTTTGCAACCATAACCCCTTCAGTTCTGTGCATTTCCTGGCTTTTTAAAGTTTACTTCCTCCAAACAGAATCTTTGCAAGTTCAATTTCAACCCGAAGCAACTGGATCACCACGTCCTCCTCCTCCTGCTGCTCCTGCTGCTCCTGCTGCTCCTGCTCCTGGTGGTAGGTCTCCATTATTGTCACTTGGACGTGGGCTCCTTGCTAGCATCTCCTTTCATACTGCACAGCTTCTGTAGGCAAATACAACAATAATTTTAAGTGTAAACATAATGGAGCAATAAAAGTAGTGTTAACAGAAATGTTCTGTAACTTTTCAGAAGAGAAAGTTGGATGATAGCAGAGGGATCAAAATTACTAGAGTAATTTATTTTTTCTATTGGAGCCCCTTTGCTTAGATTTTTTAATTTTCCTTTGGTTTTGGTTGCTTGGTGAGTTGGATTTTTTGGTTATGAGGAGTGTTTGCTGTGGGGTGGGTGTGTGGTTTTGGGTTCTTTTTTTTTTGTATTCCTGTTTTTGTTTTCCTCCCTCCCTCCCTCCTTCCCTCCCTTCTTTCCTCCCTCCCTACCTCCCTCTCTCCTTCCCCTTCTCTTCCTTCTCTTCCTTCTCTTTCCTTTTCTTTTTTTTAACAAAGTTTTTCCATTCTTTCTATTAGAAACCATTAACATTTTGTAATACCCTTTCCTTGCAACTATAACCATTCCAGTACTCTGCATGTCCTTGCTTTTAAAATGTACTTTCTCCAAGCAGAAACTTTGCAAGGTCACTTTGAACCCAAAACTGGTGATACACCACCTGCTCCTGCTCCTGTTCCTGCTCCAGACGGTAAGTCTGCTTTTCAAGCAATTTCAGTCACTTGGAGGTGGGTTCCTAGCCAGCATCTCCCTTCATGCTGCACGGCTTCTGTAGGCAAAATCAGCAATACTTACATGTCAGCATAATGGAGCAATACAACCAGTGCAAACACAAAAATTCTGAGCCATTTTTCAGAAGAGAGGGAATGGTGAAAGTTAACACATTGTGTTTGTAAGTGCTTGCCACATTTTGTAATGGCTTTTTCTATTAGTCCTTATTTGCTTAGATATTCTACGTTTTCATTTAGCTCTAGTTGCTTGGTAGGTTGCAATTTTTTGTTTTGGGGATTGTTGATGGTGGGTGTGTGTGTGTTTCTTTTTTGCTTTTTTTATTGCCAGTTTTAATTTCTTCCCTTCCCTTCCCTTCCCCCTCCCCTTCCCCTTCCCCTTCCCTTTCTCTTTCCCTTTCCCTTCCCCTTTCCCTTCCCCTCTCCCTTTCCCTTTCCCTTCCCCTTCCCCTTCCCCTTCCCCTCCCCCTTCCCCTTCCCCTTCCCCTTCTCCTTCTCCTTCCCCTTCCCCTTCCCAGAACTTACCTTTCTTTCCTTTTTTTTTTTTTTTTTAACCAAAGGCTTTTTCCTTTCTTTTTGTTATAAACCACTAACATTTCTGAAATAGCCTTTCCTTGCAACCATAACCTCTTCAGTTCTCTGCATTTCCTGGCTTTTTTCAACTTTTTCTTTTGAAAAAGTAAACTCTGGAAAGTAAATTTACTTTCCCTGAACAGACTCTTTTGGACCTCGCTTTGTGCCCAAAGGAGCTGCTGCACCTCCTGCTCCTGATGGGAATCTGCCTTTCAAACAATTACAGTCACTTGGGTCCCCAGCCAGCATCTCCCTTCACACTGCACAGCTTCTGTAGGCAAATACCACAATCTTTAATTGTCAACATATACTGGAGCATTAAAACTAGTGCTAACAGAAATATTCTGAGACATCTATTCAGAAGAGAATGGTGGTGCTGAAAGCAAACCCAGCAATTAAAATTACTACTTCTTCTGTTCCTGAATAGCAGGCTGATTAAAAGAGACCCCTAGGGAGTGCGGCGACCCAGAGCGGGCAAACGGGAGCGTGGCAAGGCTCTGAGGGAGCGGCACGGCAGTTTGCGTGGCAGATGAACAAGCAGAGTTCCAGCTTTTGTTGCCTCTCAGATTTACTGTGTGTTGTGTGCAGTGTTTCTGTTGGTTGGTTGGTTTGGGGTTTCTGGTAGTAATGGTTTTTACGTGATTGAAAACTGTAGTTAGTACAAGAGCATGTAACCAGATGGAACCCTCCAAAAAGGATGTGTCTGTGCAGACCCATTCCTGTGTGGAGTGTTTGAGCTTATCAGTGCTTTCAGGGGGCATTGCAGAGGGAACCTGCTTGTGGTGTGAACACGTGAATCATCTCCTTTCACTTGTGGCCGAGCTTAGAGAGGAAGTTGAAAGACTAAGGAGCATCAGGGAAAGTGAAAGATTGGCAGAGTTCAGCCCTTCCATCCTTGAGGGAGGCCCACCAAGAGTCAGAGGACTCCTGTGACTCTCACTGTTAGGCAATAGAAGGACACCTGGTAGATGAAGGGGAGTGGAAATGGGTCCCTACTCGAGGAGGTAATAATAAAAACTCCTCCTGACTCTCACTCCCAAGCCAGGTGCCACTTCAGAATAGGTATGAACGCCTGGAGAATCAGCCAGATGATTTAGAAGAAAATTATCTGCCCAGTGAGCCTTCCAGTTATGATTAATCTGTGAGAGGGACTACCACCTCTAAGATCAAAAAGAAAAGAAGGTTAATCATGGTGGGTGATTTCCTTCTGAGGGGAACAGAGGCCCCCACATGTCGACTGGACCCACCCCACAGAGAGGTCTGCTGCCTCCCTGGGGCCTGGGTATGGGATATCACTGAGAGACTGCCTGGGCTGATTCAGCTCTCTGGTTATTACCCACTACTGATACCTCAGGCTGGCAGTGATGAGATTGAAAAGAGGTGTGTCAGGGCAATTAAAAGGGGCTTTAGGGCACTGGGACAAGTAGTTGTACAGGGCTACAGGTAGTCTTTTCCTCAGTCCCTTTGGTGGCTGCGAGAAACCGTGAAAGGAATAGGAGATCTCACGTTATCAGGAAGTGGCTCAAGGGTTGCTGCCTTGCTGCCATAAGGAGAATTTTGGATTCTTTGATCATGGGGCAACTTTTACAACACCTGCTCTACTGGAACGAGATGGGCTCCATCTCTCTGGTAAGGGTAGCAGGTTTTTAGCTTGTGAACTGGCAGAACTTGTTGAGAGGACTTTGAACAAGGTTTGAAGGGGGAAGAGGATGCAATTGGACTGTCTGGAAGCCAGCCCAAGGCTGGTAAACCTGAGATAGGAGTGAAATCAGCTGCCCAGCTGAGGTGCATTGTTACCTAGTGCACGCAGCATGGGTAACAAACAAGAAGAGCTGGAGGCCATGGTCCAAGAGCAGAGCTATGATGTAATTGCCATCACAGAAGTGTGGTGGGGTGACTCACATGGCTGGAATTCTGCACTGGATGGATACAAGTTCTTCAGAAGAGACAGGAAAGGCAGAAGAGGTGGAGGGGTAACCCTTGATATTTGCACGGCTTTGGATGCCATAGGTATTGAAACTAATGACGATGAAGTTGCCTATGAGTAAGAATTAAGGGGAAGGCCAACAAAACTGATATCCTACTGTGAGTCTGTTATTGTCCACCCAGTCAGGAAGAAGTGGTGGAGAACTCATTCTACAAGCAACCTGAGCATGTTTCTGGATCATCAGCCATTGTTCTTGCTGGCAATTTCAACCTTCCAGACATCTGCTGGGAACTCAATACAGCTGAAAAAAGGCAGTGCAGGGAATTTTTACAGTTTGTGGAGGACAATTTTTTGTCACAGCTGGTGGGTGAGCCCACCAGGCAAGGGACTATGTTAGATTTGTTATTTGCAAATAGAGATGGGCTGGTGGGAAATGGAGGCCGCTTAGGACACAGTGATCATGAAATTATAGAATTCTCACTATTTGGTGAAATCAGAAGGAACGTTAATATGACTTTCACACTGGACTTCTAGAGGGCACACTTCAGCCTACTCAGGAGACTTATTCAGAGAGTTCCTTGGGAAGCAGTTCTTAAAAACAAAGGAGTTCAGGAAGGGTGGGCGTGCTTCAAAACAGAGATCTCGAGGGCACAGGAACAGACTGTCCCTGTGTGCTGAGAGATAAGACGACAAGGCAAACACCCAACCTGGATGGGCAAGGAGGTTTTGGAGGAGCTTAGGAATAAAAAAGTGATGCATTATTTTTGGAAGGAGGTTTCTCAGGAGGCATTTAAGGGGACTCCTAGAGTATGTGGGAAAAAAGTTAGGGAGGCCAAAGCTCTGTTTGAACTTAAAATGGCAACATTTGTAAAGGATGATAAAAAATGGTTTTATAAATACAGTAATGGTAAAAGGAAGAGTAAGAACAACCTTTGTTCTTTATTAGATGCAGAAGGGAACTTAGTAACTGCAGATGAGGAGAAGGCAGAAGTGCTTAATGTCTTCTTTGCCTCAGATTTTAGTTGGAAGACTTGCTTTCAGGACAACTGTCCTCCTGAGTTGGTAGATGGTGTCAGGGAGCAGAATGAGCCCCCTGTTATCCAGGAGGAGGCAGTCACAGTATTGCTGAGATGCTTGGATGTTCATAAATCTATGGGCCTGGATGGGATCCACCCCAGGGTGATGAGAGAGATGGCAGATGAGCTTGTGAAGCCACTCTCCATCATTTACCAGCAGTCCTGGCTCACTGGTAAGGTTCTAGATGACTGGAAGCTGGCCAATGTGACACCTATTCATAAAAAGGGGGGGAAGGAAGATCCTGTTAATTATAGGCCGTTTAGCCTGACCTCAGTACCCGGTAAGGTGATGGAACAGTTTACACTGAGTGTCATCCCACAGCGCTTACAGGATGGCCAGGGTGTCAGACACAGCTAGCAGGGGTTTAGGAGGGGTAGGTTGTGTCTGACCAACCTGATCTCCTTTTATGACCAAATGACCCACTTGATGGATGCAGGAAAGGCTGTGGATGTTGTGTATTTGGACTCCAGCTCTGTCTCCCACAGCAAACTCCTGGAAAAGCTGCAGCCCCCACAGCTGGGACAGGAGCACTCTGTGCTGGGCTCAGAACTGGCTGGATGGCCGGCCCAAAGAGTGGTGGTGAACAGTGCTGCATCCAGCTGGGGACAGGCACCAGTGGTGTCCCTCAGGGCTCTGTGCTAGAACCAGTCCTGTTTAATATCTTTATTAATGACATAGAGGAGGGGATTGAGTCTTTCATTAGTAAGTTTGTGTATGACACTAAGCTGGGAGTTTGTGTCAATCTGTTGGAGGGTAGGAGAGCTCTGCAGAGAGACCTGGAATGGTCGAATGGATGGGCAGAGTACAATAGGATGAAGTTGAATAAGTCCAAGTGCCAAGTCCTGCATTGTGGCCACAATAACTCCTACAATGTTATAGGCTGGGGACAGTGTAACTGGACAGGGCTCAGGTGGAAAACGACCTGGGGGTGTTGAGAGCTGGCTCAACATAAGCCAGCAGTGTGCCCTGATGGCCAAGATGGCCAATGGCATCCTGGCCTCTATCAGGATGCCAACAGCATCCTGGCCATCAGGAGCAGAGATGTTATCCTTCCCCTGTACTCAGCAATGGTGAGGCTGCACCTTGAGTGCTGTGTCCAGTTCTGGGCCCTCAGTTTGGGAAGGACATTGAGATGCTTGAGCGCATCCAGAGGAGGGCAACGAGGCTGGTGAGGGGCTTGGAACACAAGTCCTGTGAGGAATGACTGAGGGAGATGGGGGTGCTTGGCCTGGAGAAAAGGAGACTCAGAGGTGACCTTATTACTCTCTTCAACTCCCTGAAATGTGGTCATAGTTACGTGGGGGTTGGTCTCTTTCTCCAGGCAGCACTGACAGAACCAGAGGACACAGTCACAAGCTGCACCAAGGGAAATATGGGTTGGATATAGGGAAGAATATTTTTATAGAAAGGGTGATAAAGTTCTGTAATGACCTGCCCAGGGAGGTGATGAAGTCACCATCCCTGGATGTGTTTAAAAGAAGACTGGATGTGGCACGCAGTGCTATGTTTTAGTTGACGTGTTAAGGCATGGGTTGGACTCGATGACCTTTAAGGTCTTTTCCAACCTAGTCATTCTATGAATACTGCGAATTCTGTGAATATTGTGGGGTTTTTTAATTGGCCCCCATTTGCATGGGTATTTCTGAGTTTTGCTTTGGTTGGTTGGATTTTTTTTTTGGTTTTGGTTTTGTGGAGTAGCAGTAGCGGATGGGTGGGTGGGTTTTTGTTTTTTGACTTTTTAAATGATTTTTTGTAATTTTCTATGTTATAGAAAATATAGAAAATGTCTTTCATTATGTTATAAAGCATTAATATTTTTTAATCATATTTTCTTGTAAATATAACCATTTCAGTTCTGTGCATTTACTTGCTTTTTAAAATTTACCTCCTCTGAAGTAAATTTAATATCTCTGAACAGATATTTTCGGTTAGCGTTGCACCGAAAGCACCCTGTATAGATGCAAATACAAAGGCAAATACAACAACAATTATTGAAAACATAATGGAGCATTAAAATAATGAAAACAGAAATGTTATGTATCTTTTTAAAGGAGAGAAAGGGGATGATGAAAGCTAAGACAGGGATTTAAATTATTTCTGGAATTGTTTTTCCTATTGTCCCCTATTTCCTTGTGGTGTTGTTTTGTTGTTGGTGTTGTTTTGTTTTTGTTTTTATTTTTTTTTTTAGTTTGGTTTCTTGTTTTGGATGCTTGGTTGCTTGTAGGTTTTTGGTTTTGGGGAGTGGTTGAGGTGAGTATATGGGTGTTTGCTTTTTGATTTTTTCCTTTTATTATGTCTTTTAATTGTTTTCTTTCTTTTTTTTTAAATAATAAAAGTGTTTTTCCTTTCTTTCTGCTATAAACCATTAACATTTTGTGACAGCCTTTTCTTTCAACCATAACCATTTCCAGTCTGTGCATTTCCTTGGTTTTTAAATCTTACTTTTACTCAACAGCTATTTTTCAGCCTCATGTTTCACCCCAAGCAGCTGGTAGACCTATTGCTCCTCCTGCTCCTACTCCTGCTCCTGCTCCAGCTCCAGCTCCTGCTCCAGCTCCAGCTCCTGCTCCTGATGGTAAGTCTGTTTTTCAAGCAATTATAGTCTATTGGATGGGGGTTCCTAGGCAGCATCTCCCTCCATGCTGCACAGCTTCTGTAGGCAAATACAATACTCGATTTTAAACATAATGGAGCAAATAAACTAGTGCAAACAGAAATGTTGTGATACTTTTTTCAGAAGAGAAAGGGGATGGTGAGTACTGTAATTTTTTTTTCTATTGGTCCCTAATTGCTTGGATATTTTTGATTTTATTTGATTTTATTTTAGATTTGCTTGCTTGGTTGGTTGAATTTTTTGGTTTTGGGGAGTGGTGGGGGTGGGTGGGTTTTTGTTTTTAATTTTTTTCTTTTATTTCTTCTTTCTGTTTATATTTTTAACTGAAAACTTCTTCCTTTCATTATGTTATAAACCATTAACTTTTTTTAAAGGTTTTTTCTTTCAACCATAACCATTTCAGTTCTTTGCATTTCCTTTTTTTTTTTTTTTTTATTTACCTTCATTGACGTAAATTTACTTTCTGTGAACAGGTACTTTTCAGCCTCTTTTTTCACTCCGAGCAGCTGGTAAACCCACTGCTCCTCCTTTTCCTGCTGATGGTAAGTCCGCATTTCAAGCAACTGCGGTCAGTTGGACATGGGTTCAGAGCCAGCATCTCCCTTCATGCTGCACAGTTTCTGTAGGCAAATACAACAATACTTAATGCATTTCTTTGCATTCCATTTTTTTTAAAATTACTTCCTCTGAAGTAAATTTACTTTCACTGATCAGAGTCTTTTTGGTGTCACTTTGAACCCAAATCAGCTGGTACCTTGTACTGTGTCCTAGTTTGAAAACTAACCAGTGCGAGATTCCAAGTCAGAACTAGTATTTCATAGGACAATTAAAATAAAGGCAGAAAACACTGGCCTAAAGAGTCAGGATACAACCTGACACCCTGTTGGTCAGGGTGGTGATAGCAGTCTGATAAAATGGTGGCTGCAGTCCTGCTGAAGTGATAGATGTGTTTCTGCTGAAGTAGTGATCCTGTAGAAGGGTCTGGTCTTCCTCTGAAGATCCAGAGGTAGTTATGCAGCTCTTGTCCTCTGGAAATCCAGTTGGTAAGGTTGTTCTGGTGTTCCAGCTCTCAGATTATATCCAGGTACAAATGCTTGACTCTCCCCATTGGGCAGAGCATCTCACAATGGGATGATGGAATTTTATGGGTGATGCAGTGAGGCCTTGATGGCCCATTGGCAGACACAGGCCTCTGGAAGGAGTCGTCAGGACTGAGTCATGGAGAGGATAAAGAATACTGCCCCATTTCTCTTAACAGCTGATGTAGATGGTAATAGAATACATACCTCTGGGTTGCATCTTATGTGATACCCTAAGACACTGAAGTAAATGTACTTTCTCTGAACAGATTCCTTTAAACATCGCATTGAACCCCCAGAAGCTGCTACACCTCGTACTCCTGGTCCTGATGGTAAGTCTGCTTGTCAAGCAATTATTGTCCACAGTATTGGATGTGCATTCAGAGCCAGCCTCTCCCTTCATGCCACAGAGCTTCTGCAGACAATATAACAATACTTCATTGTAAACATAATGGAGCAATTACACTACTGCTAACATTTTGAATATGCCATTTCTTGCAAACATAACCCTTCCAGTTCTGTGCATTTCCTTGCTTTTTAAAATTTACCTCCTCTGAAGTGATTTTACTTTCACTGAACAGACTCTTTCTGGCTGCCTGTTTCATCCCAAGCAGCTCGTGCACCTCCTGCACCTGCTCATGCTCGTGATGGTAAGTCTGCTTGTCAAGCAATTGCGATGTGGGTTCCTAGGCAGCATCTCCCTCATGCTGCACAGCTTCTGTAGGCAAATACAATAATCCTTAATTGCAAATGCTATGAAGCAGTAAAACTGGTGCTAACAGCAAAGTTGTGAGATGTTCTCAGAAGAGAAAGAGGATGGGGAAAGCTAACACAGGAAATAAAATTACTACTATAGGGTTTTTTCCTATTGGTCTCCATTTGCTTGGACATATTTGGTTTTCATTTGGGTTTGGTTGCTGGGTTGTTTGGATTCTTTTGATTTTGGAGACTAATGGTTGTGGGTGGGTGCATGTTTTTTGGTTTGTTTTTTTTTTTTTTTTTTTACTATTTTAAATTTCTTTCTTTCCTTTGGTTTTTTTTGGGTTTTTCTTTTGGGTTTTTTGTTGTTGTGTTGTTGTTGTTGTTGTTATTGTTCTTTTTTACCAAAGACTTTTTCCTTCCTTTATGTTATAAACCAATACTTGTAATGGCCTTTCCTTGCCACCACACCATTTCAGTGCTGTGCAATTCCTTGATTTATAAAACAAAAACATTTTTTAGATTGAAAATTACTTTCTCTTCATAGAATCTTTCTGGGGTCGAATTGGACACCAACTAGCCGGAACACCTCCTGCACATGCTGGTGACAGTGATGGTAAGTCTGCTTTTCAAGCAATTTTAGTCACTTGGATGTGGGTTCCTAGCCAGCATCTCCCTTCATGCTGCACGGCTTCTGTAGGCAAAATCAGCAATATTTACATGTCAGCATAATGGAGCAATACAACCAGTGCAAACACAAACATTCTGAGCTATTTTTCAGAAGAGAGAGTGGATGGTGAAAGCTAATACAGGGATTAAAACAAAGGGATTAAAATGAATGCTGTTATGTTTTTTTTTTTTATTAGTCCCCACTTGCTTAGATATTCTAGGTTTGAATTTGGCTTTGGATGCTTGGTAGGTTGGATTTATTTTTTTTTTTTAATTTTGGGGTTCGTTAGGAGTGTGTGTGTGTGATTTGTTTTTAAAAATTTTTTTTAATTGTAATTTTTAATTTCCTTCCTTCCTTTGTGCCTTCCAGCTTCTCTCCCACCATCCCTTCCCTTCCCTTCCCTTCCCTTCCCTTCCCTTCCCTTCCCTTCCCTTCCCTTCCCTTCCCTTCCCTTCCCTTCCCTTCCCTTCCCTTCCCTTCCCTTCCCTTCCCTTCCCTTCCCTTCCCTTCCCTTCCCTTCCCTTCCCTTCCCTTCCCTTCCCTTCCCTTCCCTTCCCTTCCCTTCCCTTCCCTTCCCTTCCCTTCCCTTCCCTTCCCTTCCCTCCTCCCTTCCCTCCCTTCCCTCCCTTTTCTTCCTACCTCCCTGCCTTCTCTTCCCTTCCCTTCCTTTCCTTTCCTTCCATTTTTTACCCCATTGTCTTTTTCTTTTCTTTCTGTTATAAACCACTAACATTTCTGAAATAGCCTTTCCTTGCAACCATAACCCCTTCAGTTCTCTGCATTTCCTGGCTTTTTTCAACTTTTTCTTTTGAAAAAGTAAACTCTGGAAAGTAAATTTACTTTCCCTGAACAGACTCTTTTGGACCTCGCTTTGTGCCCAAAGGAGCTGCTGCACCTCCTGCTCCTGATGGGAATCTGCCTTTCAAACAATTACAGTCACTTGGGTCCCCAGCCAGCATCTCCCTTCACACTGCACAGCTTCTGTAGGCAAATACAACAATCTTTAATTGTCAACATATACTGGAGCATTAAAACTAGTGCTAACAGAAATATTCTGAGACATCTATCAGAAGAGAATGGTGGTGCTGAAAGCAAACACAGGGATTAAAATTACTAGTGTAGTATTTTTTTAATTAGTCCCCATTTGCTTTTTTTGGGTTTTTTTTTCTTGGTTGGTTGGTTGGTTAGATTTTTTTTAGTTTTGTGGAGTAGCAGTAGTGGGTGGTTGTTTGGTTTTAGATTTTTAAATTTTTTTTCTCATTTTCCCTTTTTTTTTTCCCCCCAAATACTTCTTCCTTTCATTATGTTATATACGATTAATATTTTTAATCATCTTTCCTTGCAAGCATAAACATTTTCTTGATTTTTAAAATTTACTTTCTCTGAAATAAATTTACTATCTCTGAACAGATATTTTTCGGATTAGTGTTGCACCCAAAGCGCCCCGTACACCTGCTACTCCTGTTCCTGCTCCTGCTGGTAAGTCTGATTTTTACACAATTACTGTCACTGGGATGTGGGTTCCTAGCCAGCATCTCCCTTCATGCTGCACAGCTTCTGTAGGCAAATACAGCAACAATTAATTAAAAACATAATGGAGCATTAAAATAGTGCAAACAGAATACATTTTAAAGGAGAGAAAGGGGAGGGTGAAAGATAATATTATTTTTTAGCAATAAAACAGGGATTTAAATTATTACTAGAATGTTTTTTCTATTGGTCCCTATTAGCTTGTGGGTTATTTTGGTTTTAGTTTGGGTTTGGATTCTTGTTTGCTAGTGCTATTTTTGGTTTTTGGGAGTGGTTGAGGAAGGTGGTTGGGTGTTTGGTTATGGATTTTTTTTCTTTTCTATCTTCTTTTAATTCCTTCCTTCCTTCCTTCCTTCCTTCCTTCCTTCCTTCCTTCCTTCCTTCCTTCCTTCCTTCCTTCCTTCCTTCCTTCCTTCCTTCCTTCCTTCCTTCCTTCCTTCCTTCCTTCCTTCCTTCCTTCCTTCCTTCCTTCCTTCCTTCCTTCCTTCCTTCCTTCCTTCCTTCCTTCCTTCCTTCCTTCCTTCCTTCCTTCCTTCCTTCCTTCCTTCCTTCCTTCCTTCCTTCCTTCCCTCCATCCTTCCCTCCATCCCCCCTTACTCCCTTCCTTTCTGCCTGCCTGCCCTGCCTTCATGTTTTTTCTTTCTTTCTGTTATAAACCATTAACATTTTGTAACAGCCTTTCCATTCAACCATAAACATTTCCAATCTGTGCTTTCCTTGGTTTTTAAATCTTACTTTTACTCAACAGATATTTTTCAGCCTTATGTTTCACCACAAGCAGCTGGTAGACCTACTGCCCCTGCAGTTGCTCCTGCTCCTGTTGGTAAGTCTGCTTTTCAAGCAATTGTAGTCACTTGGGTGTGGGTTCCTAGGCAGCATCTCCCTTCATGCTGCACAGCTTCTGCAGACAAATATAACAATACTTCATTGTAAACATAATTGGGCAACAAAATTAATGCAAGCAGAAACATTAAAAGATACTCTTCAGAAGAGAAAGGGGATGGTGGAAGCTAACACAGGGATTAAAATTACTGCTGGAGGATTTTTTAATATAATGAGCCCCTAATTTGCTTAGATATTGTTGATACTATTCTGTGTTTAGCTGCTTGGTTGGTTGGATTATATTTTGGTTTTCCAGAGTCCAACATGGGTGTTTGATTTTTGATTTTTTTTTTCTTTTATTACTTCTTTTAATTGACTTTTTTTTAGTAACCAAAGGGTTTATCCTTTCTTTATGTTATAAGACATTAATGTTTTCTAATAGACTTCCCTTTCAATCATAACCATTTGTATTCTGTGCATTTCTTGGTTTTTAAAATTTACCTTCTCTGAACAGCTATTTTGCAGCCCCATGTTTCACCCCAAGCAGCCAGTGCACCTCCTGCTCCTACTCCTGCTTCTGATGGTAAGTCTGCTTTTCAAGAAATCAGTCTCTAGGACGTGGGTTCCTAAGTAGCATCTTCCTCCATGCTGAACAGCTTCTGCAGGCAAATACAATGATACTTGATTTTAAACATAATGGAGCAAAAAAACTAGTTCAAATAGAAATGCTGTGATATTTCTTTTCAGAAGAGACAGGGGATGGAGAAAGCTAATACAGAAATTAAAATTATTACTTTGATTATTTTTTCCATTGGTCTCTATTTGTTTGGAAATTTTTTTGTTTCAGTTTGGTTTTGGTTGATTGGTTAGTTGGATTTATTGGTTTTGGCGAGTGGTGGGTGGTAGTATGGTGTTTGATTTTTGAATTTTTACTTTAATTATTTCTTTTACTCTTTTCTTTTTCCTTTTCTTTTTCCTACTAAAGACATTTATGTTCTTTCTGTGATATATCATTAACATTTTTTGTAAATGCCTTTCCTTGAAACTGTAACCATAACCATTTGAGTTGCTTGTATTTCCTTGCTTTTAAAAATTTACATTCTCTGAAGTAAATTTACTTTCTCTGAACAGAATCTTTTCAGCTTCTCCTTATACCCCAAGGACCTAGTACACCTCGTAGTCCAGCTCCTGATGGTAACTCTGCTTTTCAAGTAATTGTAGTCACTTGGATGTGGGTTCTTATCCAGCATCTCTGTTAATATTGCAAAGCTTCTCTAGGCAAATATAAAAAATATTTAAGGGTAAATATAATGGAGCAATAAAATTAGCGCTGAAAGAAAAGTTCTGAGACTTTGTTCAGAAGAGAAAGCAATGGTGAAAGCCAACAGAGGGATTAAAATTACTTCTGTAATTTTTTTTCTGTTTGTCCCTATTTGCTGGTATACTTTTCATTTTAGTTTGGCTTGGGTTGCTTGGTTAGTTGGCTTATGGTTGGTTTTGGGAAGGAGTTATGGATGGGTTGTTTTTTCTATTATGGGGTTTTTAAACTACAATTATATTTCTTTTTGTATCTTACTCTTACCAAAGGCTTTTTACTTTCTTTTTATTTTAAACCATTAATGTATTTATAATTGCATATCTTTACAACCATATATATTTCTGTTCTGTGCATTATCCTTGGTTTTTCAAATTCACCTTTTCTGACATAAATTTACTTTCTCTCAACAGAATCCTTCCAGCTACTCTTTGTACAACAAGGAACGAGTACACAATGTAGTCTTGCTCCTGATGGTAAATCTGCTTTTAAAGTAGTTATATCACTTGCATGGGGGTTCCCAGACAGCATCTCCGTTCATGCTGCACAGATTCTGTAGACAAATACAACACTTTATTATAATGATAAGGGATCAATGCATCTGGTATTAAGAGAAATGTTCTGAGACATTTTTCAGAAGAGAAAGGGCTGATGTAACTGACACAGGGATTGAAATGTTTGTAAGAGAGGCTGTAGAAGAAGTTTGTTTCCTTTATTAAAAAAATTACAATCATGAGGCATAAAATACGTATGTAAGGATGTGTGGAACGTCAAATAAAATGCAATTTCTACAATTCCGAGGGCACTATACTTGTGTTAATGTCCTGTGTCCATTAAAGAGAAATATATAATATTCAGCTACCGTGTATTTCAAATAAGCAGTTAATACAACGACCAAACAATTCTTACTACTACAAAAATATAAAATTGTGAGAGTTATGTAGCAGCAAATGTACATTCTCTCTTCATTTGTTTCTTAATTCTTTGCTTATTCCAGCAAGCTGGGGAGAGCCTAGACACAGAACGTACATTGATTCCAGAACTGACACAACCTCCAGTGTGGCACCCTACAGGGGCTCTACTCTGCCTGGAATTCACACAATCTCCAGGGTGTCACCCCAGAGAACCTATACTGTGTCTGGCAGTGATGTGCCCTCCAGTGTGACACCCTACAGGACCTATACTGTGTCTGAGAGTGATATGCCCTCCAGTGTGACACCCTACAGGACCTATACTGTGTCTAAGAGTGATGTGCCCTCCAGTGTGACACCCTACATAACCCACACTGTGTCTGGAAGCGACGTATCCTCTGGTGTGTGACCCTATAGAACCTATACTGTCCCTGGGACCAATATAGCCTTTCCTTCCTATCATAACCTTTTCTTTCCCCTGCTTTTCCTTCCTTTTTAAAAATTACCGTCTCTGAAGCAAATTTGCTTTCTCTGAACAGAATCTTTTCGGCTTCCCTTTGTACCTCAAGGAACCAGTACACCTCGTGGTCCTGCTCCTGTTGGTAAGTCTGCTTTTGAAGCAATTGCACTCACTTGGATGTGGGTCCAGAGCCACTACCTCTCTTCATGCTGCACAGATTCCGTAGGCAAATACAACAACGCTCTCTTGTAATGATAATGGAGCATTGCATCAAGTACTAACAGAAATGTTCTGAGACATTTTTTGGAGGAAAAAGGATATGTAAGTAACAACAGAATTATTGCTGTTGTCAAAGATAATCTAAAAGAAGTTTGCATCCTTGTTTAAATAAACACAGCTATATAATTTTCAGAATTAGTTGTAAAATATGTCTCTAAGTAAACAAGTAAATACTTCCAACACTTCAAATAAAGTGTTATTGCAAGACTTCCGAGGGCACTATGCTTGTGCGCATGTCCTTTCTCTCGGAAAGATTAATATACAATAATCACGTGCAGTGTGTTTCACATAAGCAATTAAAGCAAGGAGCAAAGAGTTCTTATGAGTACACATACATAGCCTTGTGGGAGGTATGTAACAGCGAGTGTAGATTCTCTCTTGATTTGTTTTATATTCTTTTCCTTATTCCAGCAAGCTGGGGAGAGCTGGGACACAGAACCTACATTGATTCCAGAACCAACACAAGCTCCAGTGTGACACCCTACAGAACCTCTACTGTGTCTGGAACTGACACCAGCTCCAGTGTGACACCCTACAGAACCTCTACTGTGTCTGGAACAGACACAGCCTCCAGTGTGTCACCCTACAGGACCTATACTTTGTCTGGAATTGGCACAACATCCAGTGTGATGCCCCGAGGAACCTATACTGTTTCTGGCAGTGATGTGCCCTCCAGTGTGTCCCCTTACAGGACCTATACTGTGTCTGAGAGTGATGTGCCCTCCAGTGTGACACCCTACAGGACCTATACTGTGTCTGGCAGTGATATGCCCTCCAGTGTGACACCCTACAGGACCTATACTGTGTCTAAGAGTGATGTACCCTCAAGTGTGACACCCTACATAACCCACACTGTGTCTGGAAGCGACGTATCCTCCGGTGTGTCACCCTATAGAACCTATACTGTCCCTGGGACCAATATAGCCTTTCCTTCCTATCATAACCTTTTCTTTTCCCTGAATTTCCTTCCTTTTTAAAAATTACCGTCTCTGAAGCAAATTTACTTTCTCTGAACAGAATCTTTTCGGCTTCCCTTTGTACCTCAAGGAACCAGTACACCTCGTGGTCCTGCTCCTGTTGGTAAGTCTGCTTTTGAAGCAATTGCACTCACTTGGATGTGGGTCCAGAGCCACTACCTCTCTTCATGCTGCACAGATTCCGTAGGCAAATACAACAACGCTCTCTTGTAATGATAATGGAGCATTGCATCAAGTACTAACAGAAATGTTCTGAGACATTTTTTGGAGGAAAAAGGATATGTAAGTAACAACAGAATTATTGCTGTTGTCAAAGATAATTTAAAAGAAGTTTGCATCCTTGTTTAAATAAACACAGCTATGGAATTTTCAGAATTAGTTGTAAAATATGTCTGTTAAAAAAAAAGTAAATACTTGCAGCATTTCAAATAAAGTGTCATTCCAAGACTTCCGAGGGCACTGTTCTTCTGCTCATGTCCTTTGTCTATGGACGATTAATATACAATAATCACGAGCAGTATGTTTCATATAAGCAATAAAAAAGGAGCAAAGAGTTCTTATGAGTACACATACATAGCCTTGTGGGAGGTATGTAACAGCGAGTGTAGATTCTCTCTTGATTTGTTTTATATTCTTTTCCTTATTCCAGCAAGCTGGGAAGAGCTGGGACACAGAACCTACATTGATTCCAGAACCAACACAAGCTCCAGTGTGACACCCTACAGAACCTCTACTGTGTCTGGAACTGACACCAGCTCCAGTGTGACACCCTACAGAACCTCTACTGTGTCTGGAACAGACACAGCCTCCAGTGTGTCACCCTACAGGACCTATACTTTGTCTGGAATTGGCACAACATCCAGTGTGATGCCCCGAGGAACCTATACTGTTTCTGGCAGTGATGTGCCCTCCAGTGTGTCCCCTTACAGGACCTATACTGTGTCTGAGAGTGATGTGCCCTCCAGTGTGACACCCTACAGGACCTATACTGTGTCTGGAAGTGATGTACCCTCCAGTGTGACACCCTACAGGACCTATACTGTGTCTGGAAGTGATGTACCCTCCAGTGTGACACCCTACAGGACCTATACTGTGTCTGGAAGTGATGTACCCTCCAGTGTGACACCCTACAGAACCTATACTGTGTCTGAGAGTGATGTGCCCTCCAGTGTGACACCCTACAGGACCTATACTGTGTCTGAGAGTGATGTGCCCTCCAGTGTGACACCCTACAGGACCTATACTGTGTCTGGCAGTGATGTGCCCTCCAGTGTGACACCCTACAGGACCTATACTGTGTCTAAGAGTGATGTACCCTCAAGTGTGACACCCTACATAACCCACACTGTGTCTGGAAGCGACGTATCCTCCGGTGTGTCACCCTATAGAACCTATACTGTCCCTGGGACCAATATAGCCTTTCCTTCCTATCATAACCTTTTCTTTTCCCTGAATTTCCTTCCTTTTTAAAAATTACCGTCTCTGAAGCAAATTTACTTTCTCCGAACAGAATCTTTTCGGCTTCCCTTTGTACCTCAAGGAACCAGTACACCTCGTGGTCCTGCTCCTGTTGGTAAGTCTGCTTTTGAAGCAATTGCACTCACTTGGATGTGGGTCCAGAGCCACTACCTCTCTTCATGCTGCACAGATTCCGTAGGCAAATACAACAACGCTCTCTTGTAATGATAATGGAGCATTGCATCAAGTACTAACAGAAATGTTCTGAGACATTTTTTGGAGGAAAAAGGATATGTAAGTAACAACAGAATTATTGCTGTTGTCAAAGATAATCTAAAAGAAGTTTGCATCCTTGTTTAAATAAACACAGCTATGGAATTTTCAGAATTAGTTGTAAAATATGTCTCTAAGTAAACAAGTAAATACTTCCAACACTTCAAATAAAGTGTTATTGCAAGACTTCCGAGGGCACTATGCTTGTGCGCATGTCCTTTCTCTCGGAAAGATTAATATACAATAATCACGTGCAGTGTGTTTCACATAAGCAATTAAAGCAAGGAGCAAAGAGTTCTTATGAGTACACATACATAGCCTTGTGGGAGGTATGTAACAGCGAGTGTAGATTCTCTCTTGATTTGTTTTATATTCTTTTCCTTATTCCAGCAAGCTGGGGAGAGCTGGGACACAGAACCTACATTGATTCCAGAACCAACACAAGCTCCAGTGTGACACCCTACAGAACCTCTACTGTGTCTGGAACTGACACCAGCTCCAGTGTGACACCCTACAGAACCTCTACTGTGTCTGGAACAGACACAGCCTCCAGTGTGTCACCCTACAGGACCTATACTTTGTCTGGAATTGGCACAACATCCAGAGTGATGCCCCGAGGAACCTATACTGTTTCTGGCAGTGATGTGCCCTCCAGTGTGTCCCCTTACAGGACCTATACTGTGTCTGAGAGTGATGTACCCTCCAGTGTGACACCCTACAGGACCTATACTGTGTCTGGAAGTGATGTACCCTCCAGTGTGACACCCTACAGAACCTATACTGTGTCTGAGAGTGATGTACCCTCCAGTGTGACACCCTACAGGACCTATACTGTGTCTGAGAGTGATGTGCCCTCCAGTGTGACACCCTACAGGACCTATACTGTGTCTGGCAGTGATGTGCCCTCCAGTGTGACACCCTACAGGACCTATACTGTGTCTAAGAGTGATGTACCCTCAAGTGTGACACCCTACATAACCCACACTGTGTCTGGAAGCGACGTATCCTCCGGTGTGTCACCCTATAGAACCTATACTGTCCCTGGGACCAATATAGCCTTTGCTTCCTATCATAACCTTTTCTTTTCCCTGAATTTCCTTCCTTTTTAAAAATTACCGTCTCTGAAGCAAATTTACTTTCTCTGAACAGAATCTTTTCGGCTTCCCTTTGTACCTCAAGGAACCAGTACACCTCGTGGTCCTGCTCCTGTTGGTAAGTCTGCTTTTGAAGCAATTGCACTCACTTGGATGTGGGTCCAGAGCCACTACCTCTCTTCATGCTGCACAGATTCCGTAGGCAAATACAACAACGCTCTCTTGTAATGATAATGGAGCATTGCATCAAGTACTAACAGAAATGTTCTGAGACATTTTTTGGAGGAAAAAACTATGTTGTAAGCAACATCGGGATTATTGCTCTTGTCAAGGAGAGTCAAGTTGAAATTTGCCTCCTTGTTTAAATAAACACAGCTATGGAATTTTCAGAATTAGTTGTAAAATATGTCTCTAAGTAAACAAGTAAATACTTCCAACACTTCAAATAAAGTGTTATTGCAAGACTTCTGAGGGCACTATGCTTGTGCTCATGTCCTTTCTCTCGGAAAGATTAATATACAATAATCACGTGCAGTGTGTTTCACATAAGCAATTAAAGCAAGGAGCAAAGAGTTCTTATGAGTACACATACATAGCCTTGTGGGAGGTATGTAACAGCGAGTGTAGATTCTCTCTTGATTTGTTTTATATTCTTTTCCTTATTCCAGCAAGCTGGGAAGAGCTGGGACACAGAACCTACATTGATTCCAGAACCAACACAAGCTCCAGTGTGACACCCTACAGAACCTCTACTGTGTCTGGAACTGACACCAGCTCCAGTGTGACACCCTACAGAACCTCTACTGTGTCTGGAACAGACACAGCCTCCAGTGTGTCACCCTACAGGACCTATACTTTGTCTGGAATTGGCACAACATCCAGAGTGATGCCCCGAGGAACCTATACTGTTTCTGGCAGTGATGTGCCCTCCAGTGTGTCCCCTTACAGGATCTATACTGTGTCTGAGAGTGATGTACCCTCCAGTGTGACACCCTACAGGACCTATACTGTGTCTGGAAGTGATGTACCCTCCAGTGTGACACCCTACAGAACCTATACTGTGTCTGAGAGTGATGTACCCTCCAGTGTGACACCCTACAGGACCTATACTGTGTCTGAGAGTGATGTGCCCTCCAGTGTGACACCCTACAGGACCTATACTGTGTCTGGCAGTGATGTGCCCTCCAGTGTGACACCCTACAGGACCTATACTGTGTCTGGAAGTGATGTACCCTCCAGTGTGACACCCTACAGGACCTATACTGTGTCTGGCAGTGATATGCCCTCCAGTGTGACACCCTACAGGACCTATACTGTGTCTAAGAGTGATGTACCCTCAAGTGTGACACCCTACATAACCCACACTGTGTCTGGAAGCGACGTATCCTCCGGTGTGTCACCCTATAGAACCTATACTGTCCCTGGGACCAATATAGCCTTTCCTTCCTATCATAACCTTTTCTTTTCCCTGAATTTCCTTCCTTTTTAAAAATTACCGTCTCTGAAGCAAATTTACTTTCTCCGAACAGAATCTTTTCGGCTTCCCTTTGTACCTCAAGGAACCAGTACACCTCGTGGTCCTGCTCCTGTTGGTAAGTCTGCTTTTGAAGCAATTGCACTCACTTGGATGTGGGTCCAGAGCCACTACCTCTCTTCATGCTGCACAGATTCCGTAGGCAAATACAACAACGCTCTCTTGTAATGATAATGGAGCATTGCATCAAGTACTAACAGAAATGTTCTGAGACATTTTTTGGAGGAAAAAACTATGTTGTAAGCAACATCGGGATTATTGCTCTTGTCAAGGAGAGTCAAGTTGAAATTTGCCTCCTTGAATAAATAAACACAGCTATGGAATTTTCAGAATTAGTTGTAAAATATGTCTCTAAGTAAACAAGTAAATACTTCCAACACTTCAAATAAAGTGTTATTGCAAGACTTCCGAGGGCACTATGCTTGTGCTCATGTCCTTTCTCTCGGAAAGATTAATATACAATAATCACGTGCAGTGTGTTTCACATAAGCAATTAAAGCAAGGAGCAAAGAGTTCTTATGAGTACACATACATAGCCTTGTGGGAGGTACGTAACAGTGAGTGTAGATTCTCTCTTGATTTGTTTTTTATTCTTTTGCTCATTCCAGCAAGCTGGGGAGAGCTGGGACACAGAACCTACATTGATTCTAGAACCAACACAAGCTCCAGTGTGACACCCTACAGAACCTCTACTGTGTCTGGAACTGACACCAGCTCCAGTGTGACACCCTACAGAACCTCTACTGTGTCTGGAACAGACACAGCCTCCAGTGTGTCACCCTACAGGACCTATACTTTGTCTGGAATTGGCACAACATCCAGTGTGATGCCCCGAGGAACCTATACTGTTTCTGGCAGTGATGTGCCTTCCAGTGTGTCCCCTTACAGGACCTATACTGTGTCTGAGAGTGATGTGCCCTCCAGTGTGACACCCTACAGGACCTATACTGTGTCTGGAAGTGATGTACCCTCCAGTGTGACACCCTACAGGACCTATACTGTGTCTGGAAGTGATGTACCCTCCAGTGTGACACCCTACAGGACCTATACTGTGTCTGAGAGTGATGTGCCCTCCAGTGTGACACCCTACAGGACCTATACTGTGTCTGGAAGTGATGTACCCTCCAGTGTGACACCCTACAGGACCTATACTGTGTCTGAGAGTGATGTGCCCTCCAGTGTGACACCCTACAGGACCTATACTGTGTCTGGCAGTGATGTGCCCTCCAGTGTGACACCCTACAGGACCTATACTGTGTCTGGAAGTGATGTACCCTCCAGTGTGACACCCTACAGGACCAATACTGTGTCTGGCAGTGATATGCCCTCCAGTGTGACACCCTACAGGACCTATACTGTGTCTAAGAGTGATGTACCCTCAAGTGTGACACCCTACATAACCCACACTGTGTCTGGAAGCGACGTATCCTCCGGTGTGTCACCCTATAGAACCTATACTGTCCCTGGGACCAATATAGCCTTTGCTTCCTATCATAACCTTTTCTTTTCCCTGAATTTCCTTCCTTTTTAAAAATTACCGTCTCTGAAGCAAATTTACTTTCTCTGAACAGAATCTTTTCGGCTTCCCTTTGTACCTCAAGGAACCAGTACACCTCGTGGTCCTGCTCCTGTTGGTAAGTCTGCTTTTGAAGCAATTGCACTCACTTGGATGTGGGTCCAGAGCCACTACCTCTCTTCATGATGCACAGATTCCGTAGGCAAATACAACAACGCTCTCTTGTAATGATAATGGAGCATTGCATCAAGTACTAACAGAAATGTTCTGAGACATTTTTTGGAGGAAAAAACTATGTTGTAAGCAACATCGGGATTATTGCTCTTGTCAAGGAGAGTCAAGTTGAAATTTGCCTCCTTGAATAAATAAACACAGCTATGGAATTTTCAGAATTAGTTGTAAAATATGTCTCTAAGTAAACAAGTAAATACTTCCAACACTTCAAATAAAGTGTTATTGCAAGACTTCCGAGGGCACTGTTCTTCTGCTCGTGTCCTTTGTCTATGGACGATTAATATACAATAATCACGTGCAGTGTGTTTCACATAAGCAATTAAAGCAAGGAGCAAACACTTGTTACGAGTACACATTCATAGCATTATGGGAGGTACGTAACAGCGAGTGTAGATTCTCTCTTGATTTGTTTTTTATTCTTTTGCTCATTCCAGCAAGCTGGGGAGAGCTGGGACACAGAACCTACATTGATTCTAGAACCAACACCAGCTCCAGTGTGACACCCTACAGAACCTCTACTGTGTCTGGAACTGACACCAGCTCCAGTGTGACACCCTTCAGAACCTCTGCTGCATCTGGAATAGACACAACCTCCAGTGTGTCACCCTACAGAACCTCTACTTTGTCTGGAATTGGCACAACATCCAGTGTGATGCCCCGAGGAACCTATACTGTTTCTGGCAGTGATGTGCCTTCCAGTGTGTCCCCTTACAGGACCTATACTGTGTCTGAGAGTGATGTGCCCTCCAGTGTGACACCCTACAGGACCTATACTGTGTCTGGAAGTGATGTACCCTCCAGTGTGACACCCTACAGGACCTATACTGTGTCTGGAAGTGATGTACCCTCCAGTGTGACACCCTACAGGACCTATACTGTGTCTGAGAGTGATGTGCCCTCCAGTGTGACACCCTACAGGACCTATACTGTGTCTGGAAGTGATGTACCCTCCAGTGTGACACCCTACAGGACCTATACTGTGTCTGAGAGTGATGTGCCCTCCAGTGTGACACCCTACAGGACCTATACTGTGTCTGGCAGTGATGTGCCCTCCAGTGTGACACCCTACAGGACCTATACTGTGTCTGGAAGTGATGTACCCTCCAGTGTGACACCCTACAGGACCAATACTGTGTCTGGCAGTGATATGCCCTCCAGTGTGACACCCTACAGGACCTATACTGTGTCTAAGAGTGATGTACCCTCAAGTGTGACACCCTACATAACCCACACTGTGTCTGGAAGCGACGTATCCTCCGGTGTGTCACCCTATAGAACCTATACTGTCCCTGGGACCAATATAGCCTTTCCTTCCTATCATAACCTTTTCTTTTCCCTGAATTTCCTTCCTTTTTAAAAATTACCGTCTCTGAAGCAAATTTACTTTCTCTGAACAGAATCTTTTCGGCTTCCCTTTGTACCTCAAGGAACCAGTACACCTCGTGGTCCTGCTCCTGTTGGTAAGTCTGCTTTTGAAGCAATTGCACTCACTTGGATGTGGGTCCAGAGCCACTACCTCTCTTCATGATGCACAGATTCCGTAGGCAAATACAACAACGCTCTCTTGTAATGATAATGGAGCATTGCATCAAGTACTAACAGAAATGTTCTGAGACATTTTTTGGAGGAAAAAACTATGTTGTAAGCAACATCGGGATTATTGCTCTTGTCAAGGAGAGTCAAGTTGAAATTTGCCTCCTTGAATAAATAAACACAGCTATGGAATTTTCAGAATTAGTTGTAAAATATGTCTCTAAGTAAACAAGTAAATACTTCCAACACTTCAAATAAAGTGTTATTGCAAGACTTCCGAGGGCACTATGCTTGTGCGCATGTCCTTTCTCTCGGAAAGATTAATATACAATAATCACGAGCAGTATGTTTCATATAAGCAATAAAAAAGGAGCAAACACTTGTTACGAGTACACATTCATAGCATTATGGGAGGTACGTAACAGCGAGTGTAGATTCTCTCTTGATTTGTTTTTTATTCTTTTGCTCATTCCAGCAAGCTGGGGAGAGCTGGGACACAGAACCTACATTGATTCTAGAACCAACACCAGCTCCAGTGTGACACCCTACAGAACCTCTACTGTGTCTGGAACTGACACCAGCTCCAGTGTGACACCCTACAGAACCTCTACTGTGTCTGGAAGTGACGCAACCTCCAGAGTGACACCCCAGACAACATACACTGTGTCTGGCAGTGACATACCTTCTAGTGTAACACCCTACAGAACCTATACTGTGTCTGGAAGTGATATACCCTCCAGTGGGACACCCTACGGAACCTCTGCTGTGTCTGGCAGTTATGTACCCTCCAGTGTGACACCCCAGGGAACCCATAATATGTCTGGCAGTGACGTATTCTCCGGTGTGTACGCTTCCTGAGAAGGGAATCTATTTGTGTCTGGAAACTACATAGCCTTTTCTTCCAACCATAAGCATTTCAGTTCCATGCATTTCCTTGCTTTTTAAAATTTAAGTTCTCTGAAGTACGTTTACTTTCTCTGAACAGACTTCTTTCAGCATCGCACTGAACCCCAAGAATCTGCCACACCTCGTCCTCCTGCTCCTGATGGTAAGTCTGCTTATCAAGTAATTATTGTCATTTGGATGTGCATTCACAGCCAGCCTCTCCCATCATGTTGCACAGATTCTGCAGAGAAATACAACAATACTAATTGTTGTATTAATTAATTAATAATTAATTGTACAATTAATTAATTGTAAATACAGTAGAGCAGTAAAACTACTGCTACCATTTTGAAATAGCAATTTCTTGCAAACATAACCCTTTCAGTTCTGTGCCTTTGTGTTGTGACATTTTTCAAAGAAGAGAAAGGGGATGATGGAAGCTAACACAGGAATTAGAATTATTACTGGAATATTTTTTTTCTGTTGTTTCCCACGCCCTTGTGGGTTTGTTTTGGTTTTAGTTTGAGTTTGGATTCTTGGTTGCTTGGACTTTTTTGGTTTTGGGGAGTGATTGAGGTGTGTGGGTTTTTTATTTTTAATTTTTTTTCTGTTATTACTTCTTTAAATACTTTTTCTTTTTTAATGAATAAATTATTTTTCCTTTCTTTATCTTATAAACCATTAACATTTTGTAATAGCTTTTCCTTTCAACTATAACTATTCCCTTTTCGTGCATTTCTTGGTTTTTAAAACTTACTTTTACTCAACAGATATTTTTCAACCTTACATTTCTTCACAAGCTGCTGGTAAACGTCCTGCTCCTGCTCCTGTTGGTAAGTCTGTTTTTCAAGCAATTGCAGTCACTTGTTTGTGAGTTCCTAGGCAGCATCTCCTTTCATGCTGTACAGTTTCTGTAGGAAAATACAACAATACTTAATTGTAAACATAGTGGAGCATTAAAACTAATTAAAACAGAAACATTGGGATACTTTATAAGAGGAGAAAGAGGATGGTGGAAGCTAACACATGGATTAAAATTGCTGCTGGGGGATTTTTTTTCCCCTCATAGGTCTTTAATTTGCTTATATATTTTTGATTTTAGTCTGGGTTCATGCCTTTTGTTGGTTGGATTATTTTTGGTTTTTCAGAGTGGTCCTTGTGTGCTGGCGGTGTTTGATATTTGATTTCTGTTTTCTTTTATTTCTTCTTATAATTGCTTTCTTTCTTTTTTTTTTTTAACTAAAGCTTTTTTCCTTTCTTTCTGTTATAAACCATTAACGTTTTTGTAATAGACTCCCTTTTCAAGCATAACCATTTCAGTTCTATGTATTTGCTTGGTTTTTAAAATTTACCTCCTCTGAACAGATATTTTTCAGCCTCTCATTTCATCCCAAGCAGCCAGTGCACCTTCTGCTCCTATTCCTGCTCCTGATGGTAAGTCTGCTTTTCAAGAAATCAGTGTCTTTGATGTGGGTGCCTAGGCAGCATATTACTTCAGGTTGCACAGCTTCTGTAGGCAAATACAAGAATACTTGTTTTTAAACATACTGTAGCAATAAAACTAATGCTAACAGATATGTTATGAGATTTTTTGAAAGGAGAGAAAGGCGACGGTGAATGCTAACACAGGGACACAGGGATTAAAATTATTACTGTAATTTTTTCTTTGGGTTCCCATCTACTTGGAAAATATTTGTTTTCTGTTTGGATTTGGTTGACAAGTTGGTTGGTTTTCTGGTTTTAGAGAGTGTTTCTGCTGGATAATTGGTTTTGATTTTTTTCTTTTTCTATATTATTTTCTCTTTCTATTTTTTTTTTTTTAACTAAAGTCTTTTAGTTTCCTTCTGTGATAAATTATTGTAATAGCTTTTCCTTGCCAACAACCATTTCAGTTCCATGAATTTCCTTATTTTTAAAATTCACCTTCTCTGAAAAAAATTTACTTTCTCTAAACAGAATCATTTCGGCTTCTCTTCATACCCCAAGGTCCCAGTACACCTCGTACTCCAGGTCCTGATGGTAAGTCTGCTTGTCAAGCAATTATTGTCCACAGTATTGGATGTGCATTCAGAGCCAGCCTCTCCCTTCATGCCACAGAGCTTCTGCAGACAATATAACAATACTTCATTGTAAACATAATGGAGCAATTACACTACTGCTAACATTTTGAATATGCCATTTCTTGCAAACATAACCCTTCCAGTTCTGTGCATTTCCTTGCTTTTTAAAATTTACCTCCTCTGAAGTGATTTTACTTTCACTGAACAGACTCTTTCTGGCTGCCTGTTTCATCCCAAGCAGCTCGTGCACCTCCTGCACCTGCTCATGCTCGTGATGGTAAGTCTGCTTGTCAAGCAATTGGGATGTGGGTTCCTAGGCAGCATCTCCCTCATGCTGCACAGCTTCTGTAGGCAAATACAATAATCCTTAATTGCAAATGCTATGAAGCAGTAAAACTGGTGCTAACAGCAAAGTTGTGAGATGTTCTCAGAAGAGAAAGAGGATGGGGAAAGCTAACACAGGAAATAAAATTACTACTATAGGGTTTTTTCCTATTGGTCTCCATTTGCTTGGACATATTTGGTTTTCATTTGGGTTTGGTTGCTGGGTTGTTTGGATTCTTTTGATTTTGGAGACTAATGGTTGTGGGTGGGTGCATGTTTTTTTTGTTTGGTTGTTTGTTTGTTTTTTGTGGTTTTTTTTACTATTTTAAATTTCTTTTTTTCCTTTGGTTTTTTTTGGTTTTTTTTTGGGTGGGGGGGGCAGGGGCGGAGTTTGGGGTTTTTTTGGTAGGTTTTTATTTTTTTGCTGTTGTTGTTTTTTTTTTTTTTACCAAAGACATTTTCCTTCCTTTATGTTAAAAACCAATACTTGTAATGGCCTTTCCTTGCCACCACACCATTTCAGTGCTGTGCAATTCCTATAAAACAAAAACATTTTTTAGATTAAAAATTACTTTCTCTTCATAGAATCTTTCTGGGGTCGAATTGGACACCAACTAGCCGGAACACCTCCTGCACATGCTGGTGACAGTGATGGTAAGTCTGCTTTTCAAGCAATTTCAGTCACTTGGATGTGGGTTCCTAGCCAGCATCTCCCTTCATGCTGCACGGCTTCTGTAGGCAAAATCAGCAATATTTACATGTCAGCATAATGGAGCAATACAACCAGTGCAAACACAAACATTCTGAGCTATTTTTCAGAAGAGAAAGTGGATGGTGAAAGCTAATACAGGGATTAAAACAAAGGGATTAAAATGAATGCTGTTATGTTTTTTTTTTATTAGTCCCCACTTGCTTAGATATTCTAAGTTTTAATTTGCTTGGTAGGTTGGATTTTTTTGGGGTGTATGTTTGGTGTGTGTTTTGTTTTTTGATTTTTGTTTAATTGTAATTTTTAATTTCCTTCCTTCCTTTGTGCCTTCCAGCTTCTCTCCCACCTTCCCTTCCCTTCCCTTCCCTTCCCTTCCCTTCCCTTCCCTTCCCTTCCCTTCCCTTCCCTTCCCTTCCCTTCCCTTCCCTTCCCTTCCCTTCCCTTCCCTTCCCTTCCCTTCCCTTCCCTTCCCTTCCCTTCCCTTCCCTTCCCTTCCCTTCCCTTCCCTTCCCTTCCCTTCCCTTCCCTTCCCTTCCCTTCCCTTCCCTTCCCTTCCCTTCCCTTCCCTTCCCTTCCCTTCCCTTCCCTTCCCTTCCCTTCCCTTCCCTTCCCTTCCCTTCCCTTCCCTTCCCTTCCCTTCCCTTCCCTTCCCTTCCCTTCCCTTCCCTTCCCTTCCCTTCCCTTCCCTTCCCTTCCCTTCCCTCCCCTTCCCTTCCCTTCCCTTCCCTTCCCTCCCTCCCCTCCCTTCCCTTCCCTCCCCTCCCCTCCCCTCCCCTCCCCTCCCCTCCCCTCCCCTCCCCTCCCCTCCCTCCCCTCCCCTCCCCTCCCCTCCCCTCCCCTCCCCTCCCCTCACCTCACCTCACCTCCCCTCACCTCCCCTTCCCTTCCCTCACCTCACCTCCCCTTCCCTTCCCTCTTTTTATCAAAAGGCTTTTTTCTTTTCTTTCTGTTATAAACCACTAACATTTCTGAAATAGCCTTTCCTTTCAACCATAACCCCTTCAGTTCTCTGCATTTCCTGGCTTTTTTCAACTTTTTCTTTTGAAAAAGTAAACTCTGGAAAGTAAATTTACTTTCCCTGAACAGACTCTTTTGGACCTCGCTTTGTGCCCAAAGGAGCTGCTGCACCTCCTGCTCCTGTTGGTAAGTCTGCTTTTCAAACAATTACAGTCACTTGGGTCCCCAGCCAGCATCTCCCTTCACACTGCACAGCTTCTGTAGGCAAATACCACAATCTTTAATTGTCAACATATACTGGAGCATTAAAACTAGTGCTAACAGAAATATTCTGAGACATCTATCAGAAGAGAATGGTGGTGCTGAAAGCAAACACAGGGATTAAAATTACTAGTGTAGTATTTTTTTAATTAGTCCCCATTTGCTTTTTATGGGTTTTGTTTTGTTTGTTTGCTTGGTTAGTTGAGTATTTTTGGTTTTGCAGAGCAGCAATAGTGGATGGGTGTTTAATTTTTGAATTTTAGTTTTTTTTCTTATTTTCTTTCTTTTTCCCCAAAAGGCTTCTTGCTTTCATTATGTTATAAAGCATTAACTTTTTTTATTCATCTTTTCTTGCAAACATAACCATTGCAGCTCTGTGCATTTCCTCACATTTTAAAATTTACTTCCTCTGAAATAAATTTACTATCTCTGAACAGATATTTTTCGGATCAGCGTTGCACCCAAAGCGCCCCGTACACCTGCTACTCCTGTTCCTGCTCCTGCTGGTAAGTCTGATTTTTACACAATTACTGTCACTGGGATGTGGGTTCCTAGCCAGCATCTCCCTTCATGCTGCACAGCTTCTGTAGGCAAATACAGCAACAATTAATTAAAAACATAATGGAGCATTAAAATAGTGCAAACAGAAATGTTGTGATACATTTTAAAGATGGGAAAGGGGATAGAGAAAGCTTGCACAGAGTTTAAAATTATTACTGGAATGTTTTTTTTGTTGGTTCCAATGTCCTTGTGAGTTTGGATGTCCTTGTGGTTTTAATTTGGGTTTGGATTCTTGGTTGCTTGGACTCTTTTGGTTTTGGGGAGTGGTTGAGGTGGGCAGGTGTTTGATTTTTGAATTTTTTATTTTATTACTCCTTTTAGTTACATTCTTTCTTTCTTTTCTTTTTTTCTTTTTTTTTTTTTTTATAGCCAAAGGCCTTTTCCTTTCTTTCTGTTATAAACCATTAACATTTTGTAATAGCCTTTCCTTTCAACTACAACTACTTCCATTCCATGCATTTCTTGGTTTTTGAAACTTACTTTTATTCCACAGATATTTTTCAGCCTTACGTTTCACCACAAGCCGCTGGTAGACCTACTGCTCCTATTTCTACTGCTGATGGTAAATCTGTTTTTCAAGCAATTGTAGTCCCTTGGATGTGGGTTCCTAGGCAGCATCTCCATGCTGCACAGATTCTATAGCCAAATACAACAACACTTAATTGTAGACATACAGGATCATTAAATCTAGAGCAAACAGAAATGTTTTGAGACATTTTTCAGAAGAAAAAGGGGTGGGGTAGCTAAACGGCATTAAATTTTTTGTTAGGGAGACTGCAGAATAGGTTTGTTTCCTTGATTAAAAAACACAGCTTTGGAATTAATATGATGAGAGGTAAAAGATGTCTGTAAGTAAGTACTTGTAGCACTTCAAATAAATGTTATGCCAACACTTCCTAGGGAAGGATACTTGTGCTAATGTCCTTTGTCTATTAAAGATTTATGTCTAATAATCAGGTGCAGTGTGTTTCAAATAAGCACTTAAGGAGCAAACATTTAGAAGGACTTCACATACACACCCTTTGGTATGTGAGGTATTTAACAGCAAACGTAGATTCTCTCTTGATTTGTTTTTTATTCTTTTGTTTATTCCAGGACGCTGGAGAGTGCCTAGCCACAGAGCCCATTCTGTATCTGGAGCCAACGTACCTGCTGCTGTGGCAGCACACAGAACCCACAGTGCCTCTGACACCAACGTACCCTCCAGTGTGACACCAGGCAGATTCTATAGTGTGTCTGAAACCAGCACACCCTCCAGTGTGATGCCAGGCAGAGCAGGTTTTGGGTCATCAATGGACAGAGTCATCAACCCGATACCAACCAGAACCAATACTGGGTCATCAGTGGATGCATCCTCCCGTATGAGAGGAAACAGAGCTCTTACCGTGCCTTCAAGCAACATGTCCTCCAGTATGACAGGGACTAGAGCTGGTACTGGGTCTTCAGTCAACACATCCTTCAGTTCCAGACCACACAGAGCCAGTTCTTTGCCTTCAGTCAGACCTTCCAGCCAGGATGTCTTACTCAGCACCAGAAAAAGTAAGGAAATTTAATTGTCAGTTGTGATTTCTTCATCAAAATACCGGCTTCTCTTTACAAAGAAAATACTTCAGCAATGCAAAAAAATCTAAATAAATTACAATCTAAATAAAGTACAATCTTACCGACCTTTTTATTGTAGTTCAATGTATATATTTTTTTATTTGTAATTTCCTATTTTTATGAAAATGTGCATTCATATCTTCAAATTTCTGTTTCTCTAATTATTCATATACGAAAGCACTTATTTATTTCACTCTTTTTTATTGCAGTTTTTAATTTTTATGTAATAAAAAAAATCCACAAGCCATTTTAGTCTCTGTCTCTCAAAGTTGTTTCATACCTGTCTATTTTAAACCAGGACTACAATACTTTAATAGGATTGAGAGAGGTCCATGAAATGTACACCAGTGATTCCTCTTGTGGAATGTCATGGCCCTGTGTTTTGTTTGAAAAGACAGGTGTCTGCTAAGGAAGGCAGGAGCCTCCCTTGAAATGGAAAATGCAAACTCCTTCTCTCTGAATTAGTATAATTTTGAAATAAAGGGGCTCTCAGGCAAAGATATGGGAGAGGAATAGTAGTTCTTTATTAGGAAAATTCAAATACAAATGCAACAGTACAAAAAAAATCTACTGACAGAGTCAGAACATGACCTGACACTCTGTTGGTCGGGGAGTTGGTAGCATTCTGATTACATGGTGACTGTAGTCTTGGTGTGACAGCTGTGGTTCTCTTGAAACAGTGATCCTGATACAGGGTGCAGTCTTCCTCTGAAGGTCCAGTGGTGGTGTAGATAGGCTTGGTCTTCTTCTGGCAATCCAGGGGAAAAGAAAACTGCTCTTCTGGGAATCTAGTTGGAAAAGGCTGCTGTGGTGTTGCAAATCTCATATTATATCTAGGTAGGAATGCTTGGCTCCTCCCCCTGGGTAGAGCGTCTCACAATGGGATGACGTAATTTCATCAGTCATGCAGTGAGATTCAATGGCCTACTAAGAGAAAATATTTTCCGGAGGGAGGACTGGTTGTGTAAGAAATAAAGAAAACTGTCCCACCTGGTTTTAACGGGTGGCCCAATTAGCAGAAGATAATTGCCCTACCTCTAACAGATGGCAATAGAATACATACTCCCAGAGACATTTTGCAACCTAAGACATTATCCACCCCTTATTCTATTAGTATTTGCATTATGCTCAAATCAATAAACTGACACCATGAAATCTTACACATGGCTCTTACTTAAGACTAGGTTTCCCTGTGGTACGCTGTCGCCATTGAGTTAGGAATGGCTGAAGAACGGTGACATTGACTCCTATGATCAGAAGGCATAAAGCAATTTTTATTAGGAACTTCATATATTTATAGGCAGGATAGTTCACTCAGAACCTGATTGGCTCTTAAACAATACCCCTCACACCATTGATTAATTAGGAACGACATCTTCTGGTAAAATATCTTTCCATAAGCATCACATACAAACATTCCGCATGTTCACAAACACCAGGTGCAGCAATTAAGATAAGAATTGTTTTAATTATTTCTCTGAGTGTTCTCACAACTTCCCTAGGATGATGCCTGGGAAAGTTATCTGTTTCTCTCTCTGTCAGCATCCACAGATGGCAAGAGGCTAGTGTCTTAGAATCATTGAAAGAGAGGGAAGACCAGGTTGCAGAGGCCCCATGTCCTCTATGATCTCATTGATCTTCCTCAGGTCGTGGAGCAATCTCCAGGAATCAGAAGTTTACTTATGAATGACAAAAACTGGGGAATTGCAGAGACTGGTTGTAGGTTTGATGTGGTCTTCTTGTAGTTGTTCGCTTACTAATTTTTGGAAAATATTCAATTTTTTTGGTGTAAGAGGCCATTGATTAATCCAAATCGGCTGATTGGTTTTCTATGATAATTTCAGAGTGGCAGGTGTTGCTGTGGTTTTCATCAAAAACCCCCTTCTATCTTCGCTCCCCCCTCAGACAACACATCTCTTCCCCATACTGTGATAGGCTTCTGCACCACAAGGGGACGGATGATTGCTGTCCTTCCCTCGGGACCTGTAACAGTAATCCTGAATTCACTTTGCAGACAAGGCAGCTCCTCCAATTCCTGTGAGAGCACCCTTAGGTGTTACCAAATTCCAATTGCACAGCCAGGATACATGAGAAATCACAGTGACGTCTGGCCCTATGCCCAGCATACCTGTACTATGAACTGTTTTACCAAGGTGTGTTAGACTGTTGGTTATTTGCTCCTGACACGAGAACACAAATTTGTTGGACAATATTTTTTTCCTGATTCAGAGATGGGGAACTGAGAGGCGTTTTAAAAACTTATATTCTATTTTAAGTCTCATGAGAAGGGTGAGACAATACAGATGTTAGAATTCATGCCATCACAATCAGAAGCTATTTCCTAATTACAATACACTAGAAGCGTTTCTTAGCCTATCAGCTTTTTGCCACGCCATGCTGTAGATGCCTTAAAGCAAATCATGTAAAAATACCCCTCGTGGATCCTACTACAATACATCTTTCATAGTTCTGTTTCTCCAAAGTATCTAGTCTTATTTACAAGACCATCCTATGAAACTTTCTTCTAGCTCCATTTCTCTCTCAACAATATCTATCCTACTCCATAGCATTTCTGAATCAGCATTTCTTATCTCAAGATTGCATACAGATACATACTGTGTGGGCCTTCTGTCAAGGCCCTGAAAACTCTCTACAAATCCATTTCCCACATTGGCCAGTATCAGTGTAGCTGCTTCTGATAATACAAAAAGCTCTTTCAAGACTCTTCTGAAGAGAAATGTCTTTTTGCTTTTCATTCTTAACGACAAAGCCCCCTCCAGGATGTATAGCAAACAGATTATCTAGCCTGTCCAGGGTAAACACTGCAATAACATGAGTACACTTCTCCCATCAGGTTGACAGGCAGCTTAACCAATTCTCAGCTTGCAAATAATCTCTTCTGGCATCTTTTGGGGCCCTCAACCAGGAAAGTCACACCCAAATACTGTGGGACCGTGAAAACTTCTCCAGATACAAACCAGTCTCCAGGTGGCACAAGTGACTACGGCAGCCTCCAATAATGTAGTGGGACCCAGGTTTGCTGTGTTCTCTTTGTCATTGTGGGTTTGTAATTCAGACTCACAGAGGGGCTTGAGTTGGAAGGGATCTTAAAGACCCTCTAGATCCAACCCCTCTGCCATGGGTAGGAACACCTTCCACTGGAGTAGGTGACTCAGAGCCCCTCCAAGTTGTGGTAAATACCTATGGACCCCTTTTTCTCTGTTTTACAAGGTCAGATTTCCATGCTCACATTCACAGATGGCTCAAACAGAGCATTGCTGGTTGGTCACTCTATCTCCATAACTCAGCAGAGATCCTATTTTGGATAGCTCTCGCTGCTCCCAAGGCCCCAGGGAGCAGCCACTGCCTCTCCTCCTTCTGCTTTCCCTTCCAGAATCAATGATTTCCTGCCGCTTCTACCACATCTGAGACAACTGGGAGAGATAAGGGGCTGAGGATGCAGCTTCTGGCTGAGAGTTGATAACACTCACCTGAGTATTTTATTCTCCTGATACTAAGTTGTCTGGCTGCTTACACAAATTCCTCCTGCTTGGAAAGGGGCTGGTGTGAGCAGCAGGAATTGTTGCTGGCTGGAACATTTCAGAGCTGCACAAAAGAAGTATTTTGTGGAAGGCCACCAGCTGCCCTTTGTCAGCAGCACAAGGTGTGAGGTCCCCTTTGAAGGCCATCCCTGCACAAGGACAGCCTGGCCTTCTCCAGCACCCACAACACCTTTCAGGCTTTCGCGCTGGCCTCGTCCCTCACTCTGGAGAAGCAGGTTGCTGTTGGAAATCTCATATCCACAGTTTCTGGCTGGATTGCTGTGTCTTACCACAGACAGCCCTGGAGACAACAGTACAGACAGGCTCCATCTGTGATAAAAGGGGACTTTGCTCCAGCTTTTCCCTTGGACCAGTGTGCAGCAGGCACACCTGTGCCTCATTCAGGTCTGTGTGGGCTGGTAGTCAGCTTCTGCTGGGAATTTAAAGCTTTTACCCTACTTACCACAGCAAATAATGGAGCAAACCCAGCTGCACCAAACTCCAAATTTCATTCTAACAATCACAATTTTCATTTTCCTCTATTCAAGACTTGAAGAAAACAAACTTTACTTGAGCTGGAGGCACAGTGTCCTCCAAGATCTTTCTTCAGTAGGACAATATTCCAAGGGAAGACTGGCAAAGCCAGAGTTTACTGATGCTCAGGAAGCTTTGCAAAACCTTCCACCTGCAGAGCTCTTGCACCCTCCTGAGCTCCTGGAGCCCTCACTCACCTCAGGCACAGTTTGGACAGGAAGGGGATGGTTCCATTTGTGAGATGTGGGGACAGGAGGAGGGAAGACTTTGCAAACACTGTCACAAGGGCAGGGCTGTTTTCATTTAGGGTGCCAAGTGGTAGTACATAATCTTTGATTTAATGTCAGGTGCTGAAGGGCAAAAATTCTCAGTGAAAAGGAGAGAGTGTCTCCACTCACACAGCAAGGTAAGTGAAGGCGAAAATGCAATCTGCATTTCATGGGAGGTATTCAGTTTTTAACAAAATATTTTTGCAGAAGATGTGCCTAGGCAGCGGTGATTGAGAGCATTTTATCAGACTCTCAGAGTATCCGCACGTCTGCTTTGCCTCATTTTCTCTCTTTTTTTCATTGTGAATGATTTCTGCTGCCCAGGTGGCTCCTGCTTGGAGTTCTACTCTCAGTGGAGTCCCGGAGTTTCCTCAGCAGGCCTTTGCAGCGAGTTCTGAGCCAACGTGTGGCTCTGCTGCCATCCCAAATCTGTGCTTCCCTTGCCCAGCCTGAGTGCAAGTCCTGGGCTTGGCCAGAGATTTTCATGGCCAAAATCCTCCAGCATTTACATCTGCTCATGGCTTTGCGTAGCAGAAATCACAAAACACCCAGTGCAACTGACAAATGGCATTTCCTGCAGATTGCTACAGCCGCACTGCCAATTGACAAATGCATGAGAATCAATTTCAGTTGGAAAATGTCATTTATTACAAATTGCTACACCTGTGCTGACAATACAGATCTATACAAATCTCAATTAAGGTTAAAACCAGGAATTTATTAGATTATAACAACCAGTCTAGGTAAAAATACCAAATTCAGTTAATAAAACTTAATTTATCGCCAACGTCTACAACAACTCACTATACACAAAGATTAATTAGCTTTAACAATTTATTTTATTACATATTACTACAAGTGTACAGCCCATATAGAAATACAGAAATATGCATTCCTACCCCAAGTAACCTTGTACCAAGAACTCAACTAATAGAATTACACATCTCCATACATGCTTAAGTAGAACTAAATACATATATACAGAAAAATATATATAAATACATATATAACTGTAAGAATCTACAGATAGAAATATAAATTAAATATCGCATATTATATACAATATAGATATAACACAAACCTATCTAGAAATATACAAATATCACTGTGCCAAGCTAAATATCCATACAAATGCATCAACACAAATATACAGCTATACATCTGGCTACATAGGTAAAAATAATTACACACAGAGCCATATATGTATGACTGCATCAATAGACATAGATAGCAACACAACTGTATACATAGGAAATAGAACTAAACACAGACATAACAGCTTACATGTACGCTTAGATACATATATACACATGAAACATATCTATATCTATACAATAGCATACATCCATAAATATAATAGACATATAGAAATATTCCTATACAAACAGCAGCCTACATATGTACATATCTATATAATAATCCCTGTTTTCTGAAGGGGTCAGAAGGAGGGCAGTCTTCCAAGTGAGTTGATGTTTCAGAAACTTTATTTAATTAAAATCCTCCTCTACAATCCTATTGTACAAAACTCTTCAACCATCCTACTCCAGAATCATCCTCTACAATCCTATTCTACAAAACTCTTCAACAATCCTACTCCACAATGCTCTACAAGCCTATTCTACAAAACCCTTAAACAATCCTATTCTACAATCCTACTCCATAATCCTATTCTACAAAACTCTTCAACAATCCTACTATACAATCCTCCTCTACAATCTTATTTGATAAAACCCTTCAACAATCCTACTCTACAATCCTACAATCCTCGAAATTTGTTGTGGCGAAGACATCTCGACTTCGTTGTTACATTCTTCTCTCCTGCATCCTCTTCAGGACGGTGATGAGTGGTGCCAAGATGGACACTGGCTTGGCTGATGTTACAAATGGATGCTGTCCAAAGGAAAAAAAAAACAACAAAGAACAGTGAACCATGACCTTCCAAGCTCAGTGCCTCACATACTCCATCAGGATGCCTCTAGTTCCTAGAAAGACCCAGAAAGTAAAACAATGGGACCATCTGCTCCTTAATTGTCATGGGCAGGACCTTGCCATCACAGGCAAACCTGGCCCTGAATCCCACTCATCCATTTATTCTGGTTTCTCCATCTCTCCGGGATTTTTGCCCTGCTAGTGCTCTAGAAATGGTGCTTTCTGTCCCTGGGGTTTCTTCCTTTCAAGAAGCTCCAATGACTCCCATAGGTCCCTGTCTTGGAAAGACAAGCACCGTGCTAATTTCCACAGGCACACAGAGCAGTGTCTGCCTTTCCATGCCCCGCCCCTCCTGTGTGGGATGGCACCTTCCTTCCCAGCAGGGCCAGCCGAGTGGCGCTGGGTCCTGCAGTTCCCTCTCTGCCACACAACCTGGCAGTCAGCCTGGGCCAGTTCCCCTCTGCCTGAGCGTGCCAGGCAGCAGATGGGGCTGGGACAAGTCCCTCTCAGCTGTCCCTGTTTGTGTGCCAGAAACCTCTAAGGGTGGGGTGGGGGGCACAAACCACGGCCCCTCAGAGGCTCACAGTGAGTCCCTCACAGCCCCTCCTGCCCACAGCCAAATCTCTCCAGAGTGCTGTGCCAGGACTGGCAGCCTTGGGTTCCTCCACCACCATTTCATGTCTCTCTACAATGCGCTACTTCAATGCTTTTGCTGTTAGGTAAAACAGAACACACCACCAAATTACCAAACAGGGCAACAGGTGGGACAGGGCTCTGAGCAACCTGATCTCTTTAAAGATGTCCCTGCTCATTGCAGGACACTTGGACCAGAGGACTTCACAGAGCCCTGCCAGCCCAGCCCAGTCTAGCACTCCTCAGCATTTTCATTTGAAGAGCACCAAGAGTGGAGCTGAGGAGGAAGGGGGCTCATCTGCTGCCACGGGCCTCGCACACTGTTTCACCTCAGCCCCTTGGCATTTTACCTGCAGGAGCTCGTTGGCAGACCAGCGCCGCTCCTCGTCTCTCTGCAGGCAGCAGCTCAGGAAGTCACGCAGCCAAGCCGAGTGGAGCTCGGGCTGCCGCAGCTGTGGTGTCCCTGCTGTGGCTATCAGGAATTTAGTCTGGAGAAAAAGGAAACACAAGGCTCCACCTGCTTCTTTCCCATCTGTAACTGCTCTCCCAGAACCCATTGTTTAATCTCTGTTCTTCAGTGGCAGTTTCTGCCCTGGCACAGACCCAGGGATGACTTTCCTTTACCAACAAAAAATCAAACTCTGATGCAGCCACAGCTTTTCCAACATCCCACTGATCTTGCTTTGGCAGCCGATTTCATTGACTGGCTTAGTTAGTTGGGAACTACATCAGCAAAAGCACATCTGCTCCTCTGAGGATTCACACTAGCTTGGCAGCCTTTTTGGGAGGGGGACTTTGCTATGTAAACTAATTCCAAGGTTTAGGACATGAAAGGCATCTCTGCAGTGCTTGTTGGTCCCTTCAGTTGCCATAGAACAAGACTCATCAAGTTTTTTGTCCTGTTCTTGAAAACAATGGTAATTGGAAGAAAAGAAAGGAAATCCATCAGTTTATCCCCAGGTAAGGAAAAAATCATTTACAATCTCATATTCAACACAGACACATTAAGGTGCCTGCACAAATGTATGGGGATGAAAATGCCTGCTTGGGCACACAGGAGCCACCTGCAACTCTCTCTCTCAGCAGTCTGAAAATTTCAGCTTCCCTTATGCAGCAAAAAAAAAACTTCTCCTGCTCCAAAGATGAAGATGTGCCATCCCTGTGGACACCCTCTGCTCATTTAGCTACACAAGTCAATGCATGAATGGTAGGCCCATCCCAGAAAATGCCAGGAAACAAACAGGAGGTTTTGGCAGGCTCTCCCTCTCACCAGGCTTTGGCTTGGTGATGTGGAGAAGGTGGCTTGGGCTATGAGAGAAACACGGTCACTAAGTGTTTCAGCAACACTGCACAAGAAGCAGAAGAGACTCTGTGGCCTTTGCAGCCACATGCCCAGGTTTCAGGCATGGTTCTCAGGGAGCAGAAACTGCACAGGGGATGCAGTTCCTCACTAAAACCACTGTTTTAGAAACTTTGTTAGGTTTGGCTTTCTTTCCTTCATTTCTGGAAGGACAGCACCAATTCTAAGATGCTTGTTTCCTGTTATTGTGGCCATCTACACAGACCTTATAACCTAAAGGAAAGTATTGCCTGAGCATGGGGTTTGTTTGTATGTGGAAAGGCTTGAGTTCCACACTGATGCAACCAAAACTACAGCAGATGCTGATGTGTTGCAGGGACATTTTAAGCAGGGGACCTTGGTGGAAGTAGTTCCAGCAGATGGCAATGGGATCTTGTCCAATGGCACGCTGAACACGGGGCAGGTGAGAAAGACAAGCAGGATCAGTGTGTATTTGTTCTTTACCGTGGCAGGACTTCGACTCCTGTAAGGAACTTCCCGTTCTACCATTTCAATTCCAACAATTCCAAAAGACCATATGTCCACTTTGGGGCCATATGGTTGACGCGTCACCACTTCAGGCGCCATCCACCAAGGAGTCCCGGCTACAGAGGACGGTCTCTTCTTCTCGGGGCTGAGCTCAACAGAGATGCCAAAATCAGCTGAGGGGAAAGCAAAATACTGGTTTTATTTGAATTCTGTGCAATTAGGAAACCAAGCAAAAGAATTCCCCAGTAGAAGTTTGAGAATGTGCTGTTGAATCTCCTGGACAGCTGTCCCTGCTCTGTTTCCTCAGGATGTTAGCCAAATCCCCTCATTTTTTATACTGCCTTCAGCAGTGGCTTTTGTTCTTTGGAAGCTTTAGACTTGTAGCTCCCTCCCTCTGGAAGAGACACAAGCACACCAACACCACTCTTGACTGCTTGTTCCTTCTCATACCTCTGTGCACGTTGCAACCGTGCCTTCAGCTCACAGCGGTGGGGCCCTGCACTGCCACCAGCACCATTTCTGAGGAGCTGGCAGCCACTCAAAGCAGCCCCTCACCCCACATCCCTGAACCCTGCACCTGACCAGGAATATACTGACCCAGCTTGACAGAGCCGTCGGTTCTGAGAAGGATGTTGTCGCTCTTCACATCTCGGTGGATCACATGGTTTGAGTGAAGAAAATCCAATCCTTGCAGGCACTGAGAGAGAAAACAGAAACAGGAGGGCAAAAACTAGTGATTTCATCACACCAGACAGGAAACAGAGACTCTAAAAGATTCCCATTCCCCAGGGGACTGGGGAGTAATGGCACAACACAGTGCCATTGAGAGGAAGAGTTGCTGCTCCAACACTTGCAGAGCAGGACCTTTCTAAGGAAAGGCATGTCACCTTTTGAAAGTGCAAGAGCACCTGCTGTTGTAGACTGTCCCCTGCAAACCAGCCAGGATGACTGCTGCTGCAGTGGTGTGCTCAGAAGCAAAGAGCATTTTGGCTGCACTACTATGGTTTTTAGCTGAGGACTGAGAGAAAGGAGTCTCTCTTTTTTTCTTAGCTGTGCATTTCAAATCCTGCTACCAGCACCTTGCTTCTACAAGCAAGGAATGCAGTGAAGACAGGCAAAAGTTTAGGGAGGAAACATGGAGAACAGCAGACACAAGAGGCAGAGTGAGAACAGAGCAGCAGGAGATAAGAGTACAAGAACTGAGTACAGTGAGTGCAGGGCACTCCAGGCATTTCACTGGAGATGCTTTTACCTGCCCATAGCGTACCAGCAACACAGAAGCAAAGCCTGGCACATGAAACCTCTCCTGTTCTGAGCCCCTGTTTCCCAGACAATCCTGCCCAAACCCTTGGAAGCACAGGTGGGCTTGCTGACCTCCCGACTGATGACTGCTATCTCGGTTTCAGTCAGGAAGATCTTGCTGATGACATCCCACAGAGTGCCTCCGTCCATGTACTCCATGACCAGCCAGAGTTCCTCACCCAGAAGGTAGCTGAAGGAAAGAAACAAGGACGTGAAGATAAACATGTATGGTAAGGTTGATTTTTTGCTTCCGGGCCTCTTGTTTCCAAGGCCCTTTGTGACAAGGACAGAATAAAAGGAATAGACATTCCCTCTGGGCTGTGCTTTGTTTGCAATCTGTGCAGCCTCAGGGAGAAAGGCACAGCTGTGAAAAAGGAGATGTCTTAGATGGCCAGCAAGTGAAAAGTGAAGTTTAGTAAGAGCCCAGATAAAATCCTGTCACAAATGCTGTTTCTGGAAATAAGCACCTAGTCTTCCTGGCATGCATAGCAATGGAAAAGAGGGGCAACAATCCAAGGGAAATCCACTTTAGGATGGTTCATCATTCAGCATTGAAGAAACTTTAAAAAATCAATCCCAATGAATGTGGAGGCAGTGAATTTAGAAGGTATTAACTTTGTAAGATACAGCTGATCCAGGTTTTGAATAATTTTGGAATAATTTTCAAACTACATGTTCCAGGGAATACTCATGCAGGCAAGATGCACTCTCTTCTCATCCATTGGAGATGAGCAGAGAAATATTAATACATAATAATTAACAGCTCTACTTTCTAGAAGTGACCAAAGTGGATTTTTAACCTCTCATGTGTGTGGTATGTACGTGCATATTCATGGGATAAGACCATGGCCACTCACCTATCTAAGTAATTCACAACACTGGGACTCCTATGCTTCTTCATGATTTCGATTTCATTAACAGCTAGTTGCTTTCTCTGCCATCCGTTAAGTCTTATTTTCTTTATGGCCACCTAAAATGACACTGAAAATCAGTAACTTGAGAAGTTGGTGGCACGAGATCACAAGGCACATGGAGCGAGTGATTTTGCAATGACACAGCCAAGCTGTGCAAAAATACCTTGTGATTAGGCATTGCAGTAATTAGGAACTGACATTGCAACAGCCCATTTCTCTGCTCCCTTGGGGGCCAGTTACAGGACACGTGGCCACTGAGGTTTTGCCGTGTCCACTTGGTAACAGTGGTATCTCAACTATCACCCACAAACCTCTGAGCCCACTCCCTGCTGCTTTGTATGGGATTCAGAAGAAGTAATCCATGCCTTAATACTCTGTGGCTAATCCAGGGCTATGGGCAGGGCTTAGGGCTTCTAGGGACGCCTTGCAGATCTCTCCCTATGTGCAGTTCCCAAGTGCAGCACTGCAGGTGTCTGAGGAGCTACCGGTAACTCTCAGATGCATTTGCTGGCAACCAGAAGTGAGAATTCAGGACTCTGAAGCTGTCGCCCCAAAGAGCAGTGAGATGCTCTAAGGCACCACCTTTGCTTTAGCAATTGAGAGCGAGTGAGCACATCCTTCTCTGAAATGAACTGCTGCCCTGCGTGCCTTCCTTCTGGCAGCTGAGAAGGACAAAGACTGTCCCCAATGTATTTTGCAGGCTGGTACCAGTCTGTGTTTCTTTTGCCTCTTCAGCACAGCTCTACCCAAAGCTCTGGCCACAGCTGCTCACACCAGATGGAAAAGCCTTTGAGTGCAGCAAAGTCTGCAGGGGATGTTGGCATTTACCTCTCCTCCCGTGGCTTTGTTGAGTGCTCTAACCACAGATCCAAAATGCCTAGAAACAAAACAGAAGCAGAGAAGGGAGAAGCTGTTTATTTCTTAAGAGTGAAAGCTGCCCAACACAGGAGATCTCTGCTGTAAATGACTAAAACCTGCAGGATGCAGGGGGACTCTGCCAGAAGGCAGATGATGTATTTTCCTCTCAAGTGCATGGGCAGTGCCTGGGCCGGTTGCAGAAGCGTTGGGATTTACTGCCTCAGCTCCTAAAGGAATTGATTCTTTCATCTTGGGTTTCAGTTTCTAAACTCTGTGGTTCCTATCCTGACCATGGAGTATTTCCTTCCACAAATCATGGGAAAGAAATGTTCCTGGGAACTGTTATCTCATAGCTTTGATAGGGGCTAGGTTGTCCTTTCAGGCAAGCGAGATTTTTCTTTCTTCATTAGTGCGGCAGTGTGATTTTGAGACATACAAAAATACTGAAGAAATTAACACAGAGCTTTCCCACACTTGAGAGACAAGGAAATCTTCCAGGTCCTGTTCCTTGATGTAGGCAAGACCTCAGCAACATGGAGATGTCTCTGACAATGCCTTCTGAGCACACTCACAAGTTCTGAGCAGCACTGAAGAGATGGGACAATCGATCTCCAGTGTCTGAACATGTTTGCAGCTGACCTGACTTCACATTGGATAGATATTCCAGTGGAACACGTGATATACCAGTGATATACCAGAAAAACACCTGGCCCGTGGTTGTGTAGATGCACGTGTGGCTGGACTCACCCCTTGCCAATATATTCCATTTCAGTGTATTTCATCTTGGGATCTTCCGTGTTCACCATTTTCCCTGAGGGAAACAAAATGCAAGATTCTCCCTTTAAAGCAGAGATCCCAGCTTCCAGGAGATACAAAAGGCAGCCCCAGTGTCTGGGGACGGTCAGCTGGTTAGCAACAACAGCAACAACAACAGCAACAAGACAGGCAGCCCTGCAGTGCAGATGGCTGGCACAGAGACTGATTTTGTAGAGTCCATGGAAGAGTTCTCTTGACAGGAAACAAAGCACAGGGAGATGCATTCCCAGGAGTGGAGCACAACTTCTCCAGCTTTCAGCCAAAAGATTGCCAAAACAATGCCTTTCCAATTGTAAACCAGAGCAGCTCATGCTATAACCAACCCCGATGGGGCTTTCAGCATCGGGACCCTCACCCTTTATGAGCAGGCTGAGCTCACAGACACCCCTCTCGGGGCTAAGGAAGGCTCCAGCCTCTGCAGTCCCACCAGCCCTCAGGGACAGGGCAGCTACCACAACAAATGAGTACCTTTCCCTCCTGGCTTTCTGGATCCACACTGGAATAAAGTTGAAAATTTCTTTTTAACCGGGCTAACCACACCCTTGAAGCCTCATCCTTTTCCTGATGGCTATCAAATGCTAGCTTTACATTGTTTGCTCTCGGAACTGCGTTCCCGATTCATTTTATGATCAAAGATCTATTGTCTCTCATACTTTTCCTCCCTGCTTCATTATTTGGGTCCCAGTCCGGTGGTGTTAGTGGCATTTTAACCTCCTCTGGGGGAACATCTGCGGGGTTGCCCGTTCTATTTTCTTTCTCCCACGCTTTTATTCCTGCAATTTGCATTAGCTGCATCTCCTCAGGAGAAAATAAAATCCCCATTTTTGAATTTAATTCTTCCCAGGTATAGATATTAGGGCCTAGGAATTGATCTAGCTGGTTTTGGTATTCCAAGGGGATCCTCTACCAAGGTCTTTATTTCTTTCTTAAAATTTCTGACCTCGGAAGCTCTCAATGGGGCGTTCACAAATCCTATTCCCCCATTGGCTCCTCCCATGGGAACTTCTCTTAGGGGAAATAGTCTTTCTGCCCTTTCTCCTCCTGAGCAACACTCTTTCATTTTAAACTGAGTGTTCTAATGGTGGGAGTATTGGACTAGCTGTTTCAGCTTTACCACAATTACAACCTTGAACTTTATTTCCTTGCTCATTATTCTGCCAATCGCTATTCGTTACTGATCCCTCTCTCCCATCAATCTTTTATGTGTCTTGGAGGTGTTAAGACAACACTCTGCAAAGGAGGTTGATTAGCACTGGATACGAGGAGGTTTGGAGGGTGTGACGAAACATTAGTACTGGAGTCAGGGGTTATAACCACCTGACTTGGGGTTGTTAATGTACTTCCTATTGATGGTGTGGAGAGAATATGGGGAGGAGTCTGAGAGGCTGAAGGGGTAGGTTGGACAGGAGGAGGTATTGAAGGGGCAGGTTAGACAGGAGGAGGTATTGGAGGAACAGCAGGGGAAGAGGGTGGAAGATAATCTAAAGGATCCCACCTTTTTGTGAACTCTTCACTTGTGTCCTTAATGTCCTTTGACACTTTGTACACTTTAGCTTTTTCCTCCAGGGTATTACTTTCTAACCAACAACTTGCATACTTAGTTTCTTCCTCACTCACACTCTCCCTCGAGTTCACGTATTTGTTGGAAGCTAAACACAACCACCTGTCCTTTGAACCATACCAAGGCCAGTAAACTGGCCCTTCTTGGAGACCTTCTTTTGGCTATATTTCCACACAATATTGTATCATCTTTATTTTATCTAATCCTTTAAACTTCTCATCACCTTCCCACTTTTCAATCATTTCTCCTAAAGGGCTACTGGGTGGAATTTCTTTCAGTTTACCCTTCTTACTTCCTCCTCTACGGGAGTTCTTACTACTACCCTGCCCCGTTTTATAAATTAACTGGACAACGAACTAACCTAGCAACCAGTAACTCAAATGAGTTAGTGAAAGGATCTACACTTATATGCAACAGGGCAATTGAAATTACTCTCGACAGAATAAACTGATACAGCAATTTGAAACTTGATTGGTCAAAAATATGCTTTATCCAAAATATTGAATCTAACAATCTAAAATAAAGTAGTTAATACCAGATGGAATGATCAAGTGATTGAGAACAAACAAAACCAAAACTGTTGAAATTTAGTTAAACAATTGAAATGAAACAACTAAAATAAAATAACTGAATTCTAATAAAAACAATCAGAATTAACTGGAATTACAAAATTAAAATTGTGTAATTGCAATAAAGAAACAAGTGGAATAAAACTATTAAAATTCAATAAAATTATTAGAAATAAACTATCAGAATAGAATATGATGATATAATTTTGAATAATTATATCCAACAAACAATTAATGATAATTAATTAATCTTAATAAAGATAAGTTATAAATTGAAATAAAACAATTTAAAAACCAATTGAGATGAAACAACTGGAATAATTTTTAAACAATTAAATAAAATAATTAATGAATAGAAATAAAACAATTGAAATAACCAAATCATAATTAAACAATTAAAATAAAACAATTGGAATTGAAATAGCAAATTTTACCTGGTTAGATTTAAATGAGAATAATTAAAAATCAGATAATTGAAATAGAATGAAATAATTAGTAGAATGAAAACAGAATAATTGAATTACAATAATTGAAATCACAACTGTCAAATTTAAATAAAATAATTAAATAGAATTACTGGAATTAAATCATTTAATTGGACAAATTTTGTCTAGTAAAACAATTGAATAAAATAACTGATAAACTGAAATAAAACAATTAAAATGTAAAATCAAAATAAAACTATATTATTAAAGTACCAAATGAATCTAACAGAAACAACTAAATAAAACAATCTGAATAGATTACTGTGGTAGCGTGTTTTTTATTTAATTTGATATTTGTTTAGTGCCTGTTCATACCCCCCCCCAATCTCCTCCTCTCCCCAGTTGTCAATCTTCCCTAGCTCTTCCCTAACCCCCTCCTTACCAAGATGTCAGTCTTCCCTTCCCCTGCCCCTTTCCCTAGAACATTCCCTGTCACTCCTCCCAGCCTCCTCCCCTGTTTCCAGAGCCTTCCCTGCCTATTTAGTGAGGCTCAACACCCTATTGGTTATGTTGTATTACTCCACTCCCCTGTTTTCCCTGATAGGTTTGTGATATGTTAGTCCTGCCCTAAACTCCTCCCCTGGTATTCCCTTATTGGTTGTTGTTCCTAAACCCCTCCTCCTGAGTTCTTGTATAAAACCTTTGTTTGCCCTCCTTGGAGGGTCTTGGGGCTCACTAAATAAATCTGTTCTGTGCACCCCCAAGTCCCATGTCGCCTCCATCTGTCCCCGCGCCAACAACTGGGACTGCAGAGCTTCACAGGGGGATCGACCGCCCGTTCTCTTCCCTCACTGCCCAGCACGCCCACGCTCAGGACGTTGTGGTGAGAGGTTGCGGACCGCACCGCAACAGATTACAATAAAAAGATCCATCTAAATATTACTAGTAATGATCCAAAATACCAAATTAGAATTCTCGTAATTGAAATTAATACAATGAACAAAAGTAATGGAATAATCCAATAAAATAAACAATCAATAGAAACAAAAAGAATAAAAGAGCTCACTATAACTGACCACAAGATTCCAATCACAATTAAGTCACACATATAAATAAGTTATATTTCTTATGACTTAATGATAAGGATCACAGACTGAAGCACAGCTAACAAGAAGGCCCCCAGGGCCCTCAGTCAATCTCAGCCCCCCTTGGCCCGCCTCCTTCTCCATCAATCACTGCCCGCCTGGTACCACTCCCCCCTTTCAGGGAGGGGCCCAGCCCAGGCACAAAATGGCTCCTCTGAGCCCACCACTGCCTCACACTCAAAATGGCACCTCGGAGCTGGCAGCACCACTCACTCCAAAACGAAGACTTACACTTTCTACTTATTCCAAGAGACCGATTTGTACCAATTAAATGCGTTCAAGTAGTCTTGAACTCAAACATAAAAATTTAGCAACTTCTAATTTTTAATACCTCTACCTTTAAACTAGCACTACACTAAACAGAAATACTCTCTCTCTAACGAAATGCTTTTATGTTCATTCTCCCTGTCCAGTAAGTGGTCTGGGGACTCTTGGCTACCACCTCACCCCAGAACCTCACTATACCGGTGCTCCGACCTTGTACACACACACACAATTAACTCAGCTTGAAACAGTTAAACAATAACCATTTGTATCCCCAAGTAATCAACACCTACTAAAGCAATTATACCAACAAATTATATCCAGGTAGTCCTGGACTCAAAAGTAAAAACTATGTAACTGAAGCACAACGTCAAAGGAAACAATAAATTCCCTATGTGTCATGGTTTGACACTGGCACAGTGCCAGCGCCCCGTGAAAATGTAACCTATCAATCGAATGCTGTGAAATGCGATCGAGAACAGAGCAAAGCAGGCCAAACCCAACAACAAAGGAAAAACTTTATTACACTACTACTGCTACTACTATAAAGGAAAAAAAAGAAAAGGAAAAAAACCACACAAAATTCAAAATTAAAACCTTCCAAAACATTCCTCCTCCCACCACCCAGCTCCACCAAACCACAGCGAGACCCATTTGGATCCTTAATCAAATTTTCACCCTTCAAGATAATCAATACTGAGTCCATCGGGGAAGAGAGGAGTCCCCCTTGCACCATAGACCCCCAGGAAACACAGCTGCCACCTCTTGTGTTTCCATGTCACACGTGGAAAATTCTTTTCCCGTGTCAAACCACGACACTATGGTAGGCAGGTTCTACTCTCCCTGACCCTAGCTTGCCAGGCTAGGAGGAGATCCCAGCTCCGGCTCCAGCTCCCAATGAGCTGAACGGCCTCCCCTGGGAAACTCTGGGCACTCAGCCTTCTGTGGCCCTATTAGGGGTATCCCCTCACTCCGAGGCGTTTCCTGGGTGCTCTTGGGACCGAATCCCTCAATCCAGCCCACCCCGGGGGTCTTGGGGATGGCTGAGCCCCGAGGCTACCACACTCAGTCCTCTGCCCTCTTGGTTCCTTCCACTATCGCTCTGGGAGTCTGGCCTTCCAGCCCCCCTCTCACTCACACCACACTCTCTCACCATTCGGGGCATACCCTTTCGTACCCTCTGTCCCTCTCGCACACTCACCCAAGTGCCGCTCACCCAAGTGCTGCGAGGACCTCTCCCGCTGCCTGGAAGGCGATTCTAAATTGTTGAGGCTTACAGCCCTTCCTCGGGATCAAGCCAGCAGCCCCTCTGCGGATCCGACGTAGTCCTCAGTAATCGGGCAGTTGAAATCAGTCGGGTGCACCTCCCAAATCCAGGTCCTACACCGGACCCGCCTCTGGGTGTGGCTCTCCCGGGAGAGGCCCTATTTGTTATGGTTAGGTTTACAATGAAAACTTCAAAGTAATAAAAAAAACAGCAGGCCAGTTAATTAACACCAAGTAAGCCTGTTCATTACAGACAGAACAACTGGAAGCAAAAGCCTGCGGCTAGTCCGGAGACTGTTTCAACAACTTAGTAACTGTATACCTAGGGGCATTTCCAAGGTTACCTGCTCCCATCAGGGACCTGGGTGTCACACACCCCAGGCCTTTTAAAGTCTCTCTGCTCTCCTGATTGGGCCGCTCAGGATCCGTGCTGTGATAGGTCTTTTTTTCTCTTGCTGATTGGCCCATAAGTTGGTGCAGTCTTGGCCGATCATTTTGAGATTCTTGCTTCTTATTGGCTGGTCTCTCCTCCAGTCTTGATGCAGGCTGTGGCTGTGTTCCACGGCGCAATGCTTCTGGAAGCTTCTCTGTCTCCCCTTCACAAAGATTGGCATCTCCTCCCTGGATCCACTCCCCTTTTAGGTAAACACAACAGTATTGAGTTTTAATACAACTGATCACCTTACTTTGTACCCACAACATCCAACCCTGCACCACACCCTGTTAACTACATATCCAATTATAGCTTGTTACTTGTATCAACAACATCCCTTTTTATACATACATTGTTAACAACATTCCCCAGAAGTTTAAATTTATTTTTTGTTGTTCATAACGCCAGGGACAGCACCTTCCTCCTTAGGCCCTGCTCTGCTCAGGAAGGTGACAGAGCAGAAGAAGCAGAATTAGTATTCACTTTTCCTTCTAGCCACTCTGCCACAGGACTTGTGTTCAGAAGGAATGGCTGTGGCTCCTGAGAGCAGCAGGGAACCCATCTCAGCCCTGCCAGGTACGGGGCTGCTTCTCCGCCCCTGGTCCCCTTGGGTGCTCTGGGGTGTGGGGAGAATGGTGGAAATTGATCCAGGGCTCTGGACAGCACAGGATATGTCCAGCTCCTGCTCTACATGAGGAGGCTCATTTCTTACAAAATTTTCTCTGTTATTACAATTCATCCTTTTGGGTATTTGACAACATGCTGGGTGTTGAAGAATGGGTAGGGATGACTTTCCCATTTTTTGAAAAATCCAAAAGGAGGTTTAATACTTTATATAAAAATGCAAAGACACTAAAGCAATTCCAGATATACATTTAATTGATGAATATTTAAGCACCTTGTATTAATCTGAAAGCACCGATTATGAGAAATGAACAATGCAAATATGCTGTCTTTCTGGTCTGGCCTTCAAAGCTCAAAAAGCCCCACTTCTCCTATGCCTACAGATCAATGATGAAATGAGCTGAAAATGTGCTTTTCCTTCTGCTGACAACTATGCACCACAACTGAAACCAATGCTTTAAACTCTTCACTTACTTTTTGCTAATCAGTGCTTTCCTAGATCACTACTTTCTAAAAATTATATATATATACACATGGAATGCTTTAATTCCTAACCCTATACCAAAATTTTAAAAGGAAATTGCCTCAGCCAATAGTGTTGAACTATACTAACATCTGTTTCAACCTATTATAAAATCAGCTGAGTGCCATTTCATTGCTTAAATTTACTTGACCATAAATCGTTTCCTTAAGTGCTCCTTTTAATGAGAATACGTGGCATTGCATGTCACCTAGGAATATAGCTTTTAGAAAGACATTTAGATAATTTAGTAAGACATTTCTGCTTCCTGTCATTGCATCCACCAAGTAGCTAAAAGTCTACCAAAAAATGAGAACCAAAAAACATCGCTCTAGAATTTATGGCCATCTTGTAATTAAATAATTTTATTTGTGTCTGTTGATAAATTATTTTTGAGTTTAATTTTGACAGCTCAAGTAGGTTTTGTTAAAAACGAAAATCAAAAAATCACTTTATCAGGCTAACACTGATGTTTTCATTTTTTTATTAAGACCAAGCCACATAAAAATTAGGGGGTACATTGAACCTTGTTTATTACTACCTCTACCTAAATATGACAATATTAGGACATCCTGAAATATGACTGAGGAAGCAGATAAATAATACAATAAAGACAAAAATGAAAAACCAAAATTAAGGATTCATGTCCACACACATGACCAACTTTTAACACACAGAGGACCTCAGTTCAGATTGGTCATCTGAGTTTTCTGTTTCATGGCACAATGAATTTACTTTCCCACTGTTTACCTGAGATTTGCCTGTACCTCTTTATTACTTTTGTATAACAGAAGTAATTTTCTTTCCTCTCTTATGTCCAATTTTTAAATCTCTGGACAGTTGCATTTCTCTTTAGTGTAACATAGGATTATACTGCTGTGATTGAAGGAAGCTACAACACAGTTGTACTGCCAACAGCTCAAAGATGGTAACCAACTTCAGACATTCAAAAACACATTCCTTCAAAAGCCTCCAGATTCTAATTCTAATGAAACCTTACAGCACTAAATGCAGCAGTTTGTTAATGTACCGGTTATTGCCAAAGAACATTGCTTTCTTTGGCTGTGTGCACAACCTGCTACTCTTTCCATCTTCTGAGCAATGAAGTCATGACATTTTCACCAAAGCGTCCACCAGAGTCTGGCCTGAGAAATTAAATCCCTCTCACCCCAAGCAGGCTGTGTTTCTTTTTCCCTGTACAACACACACTGGCCACCAGAACTACAATCAGTACAGTCCAGCACAGAAGAGCAGACAGGCTATATTTAAATCAATCCAAACTTTATTTATAATTGAATCCAGCAAAAATGAAAGTTACACAGGAAGAACTATATAAATAAAGAAACAAGTCTCTACACTGCCTATTGGCCAAGATCCATCTCAGTCTGTCCTGAGAAGCACTCATAAATAAATGGGAAAATATACTGCTGCATTGAGTTTCACCCTGCAGGTTGGGCATATGTGAGCAACCCCAAGGGCAATAGGGAGGCATCTACTGCAGAAGACATGGCCACATAGGGTTGCCACAAGCTGTTGTCCATGTTGCATCATCTGGAGGAAAGAAAACCACAACATTTCTTGGGAGGAAAGAATTTGATTTTGCTGCTCAACTGCACCAGGCTCTATTTAGAGCATCTAGAATTAGAATTACAAGGGACCCACAGATCTGCCAGTGCCATCTTGGCAAGGGCTTCTGCCTCTACATTCACCAAGAAGTGACTTGTGGAGCTTCACAGCAAGGGCTGTGCTTCCAGCCAGCTGCCCACAGCATCCCACATTATCCAACGGACTTGTGCAGCTCCCCCCTTCTGGCTTTCTCCTCCCACAAAGCAGAAAGGACGACAACAGGTGGATCCTTACCTCTGAGTAAAATTCCATGCAAAGCGGACACCTAATAACAGCTCCTTGCTGCGCACTAGAGGAAACAGAACTAGAAAGAACATGCAGCTGTTCATATAACCACACTTCAGTACTTATTGATGTATAAAATCTCACCTATTCATACAACTGCACTGACTAGCCATGACACATTTCCTTTGAAGAACCCTGCTGTCTTGAAGTCTCTCTTTGCTGCATTTAATGAGGATTTGGGGTCTCCCCTGCCCTGAGGGAAAGGGTGTCCTGGTTTTCACTAGGAGAAAGGTGCAGTCAGTCACCCTGCTCTGGGCTTTGAAGTAGCAGCAGTCTTTAGCACTGGCCAGTTTGTGTATGGCAACTTTGACTTCCAGTAGGTCATCAGTAACAGCTTTGTAACTACAGCATCAGCTGTCCTCTGGGAATTATTCACACCAGAATATTCATTCCAGGACCCAACTTTCAACTACAGAGTAACACAGTTCTGGCAAGATCCAGCCCTGGGAAGGGCTGCATTATGGTTTAGAATTGTAGAAGCCCTTTAGGCGGCATATTTAAGGCCTGACACCTAAAAGTTCCATACTCAAGTTGTCTCCTACATTGCCTTTCCAAAAGGCTCAAAGCACACCAGCTTTATTAAAACCTGTGTCTTTCCCCCCACCCCAAAAAAACACTTTGAAAACCTTATACCATAATTCTTATGTTCTTTGTCATCCCTAGTGACAAAGACACTTGGTTAAAATTAATCAGTCCAATGAACTGTATCTTTCTTATCCTGATGGAGTGCTCCTACAGCAGCACTTTCCTGTTCCTCTGCAGAATGGGAATTTTACTGCGCAGGCACCCAACTTGAACTGCAAGATTTCCATCACAGAAGCAAGCAAATCAGGGCTTGTGACATCCAGCACTGGCCATAAAAGCATGAACTCCACAGCTGCCTGTGTACAAGTCTACCTTGGGAAGAAGGGCTCCAGCTCCAGGAGAAAGGCAACCAGCTGGCACCGTTCCAGCAGGGAATTTTTGTTGGAATTTGCCCAGCTGTTCCTGTTGGCCCCGTGATGCCAAGCCCCAGTAATTACAATGGAAGCATTTCCATATCTAATATCACTACTACAGCTTGTCAGAAAAAGCAAATGCAATACTGAGCTATGGCCTGCGACAAATCCCCATTCCTTGCCATACTCCCACACTCGTCTCTAAGGCTCTATGCAAAGATGTACATCTGCTTTGGGCTGCTTTTATCTCCCAAAATTCAAATGGTATCATGTGATCATCCTGCAACGTGGGAGAAGGAGGGAAATATGTAGAGTAGGGAAGCTGTCAAAGATAAATCAGGCATAGCAGTATTACTAAGTCCTACACAGAAAAGAAAGAAAGGCACAGAATTCTGTGTGTGGTGGGGCATGAGGCATACATACTCTGAACTTTGAGTGTCCTCCTCCTCTGCTCCCTGTTCTGCAGGGGCTGAGTCAGCCACAGGTGCATCATTAGCTCCTGTTCCATTACCAGAGCCATCCACCTCTTCCTGGCTGCTCAGTGTAACATTTCTTCTTTCCTGTCCATGCACTGTAATTTAATTTTCAGAAGTTAGATCTATTATTCTCTCTCTCCCTGGGGCTACCTTTGAAACAAGTTATATAAGCAGTCAGCGATGGTTCCTATTTTAAATGGACACTATTCAGCTGGGTTAAAAACAATTTCAAACAAACTACTTTCCCAAATATTAAGACTGGACCCTTCCAGACATTGTGACTACTCTGCTACAAAACAACATAAAATATTTGCTCTGTTCAGCCTACACACAGCTCAAAAAGGTGACCCGAGAGATTCTCAAGGAAAGTCCCTGGAAACTATAAAATTACTCGGAGCAGTATCCCCTTAGAAATTGCCGTCATCATCCTCCTGAATTCAGGTCATTTGAAAATGGAGTTATATGTTATGCAAAATGTAGACTTTGTGAAAGATTTCTTAAGGAAGGATGCTCTTTGTATTGCTATATTTGATCATTCTATACTTTCAAACCAAATCACCTGGCAGGGAGATTTATTCCATTAAATAGACAGCAACTAACAAACAAGCTCTAAGTGGGGAAGAAAAACAAATTCCTTGTTGGTAGAATCGCCTTGTAAAGGTTCAGGGCTTGACATGCTTGAAGGAGCTCAGATTTGGGGAAGGGTTAACAAAGCTTGGGGAGAAGGATGCCCACTGAGAGTGGACACAAAAAATGCAGAATTGAGGGGCCAAAAGGACATCTGGCACAACTCCCAAGATAAGGAAGGGGCTAAGAAACCCAACTCTCCTGAAAGCAGCTCTGACTGGTAGAAAATAATTGCTGCAGGGGGAGATTGCAACCCCCAACTCATGGAGCAGCAGCTCAAGAAACTCCCCAGCCCAAAAGAAGGGGGAGACTGAGCAATGGACTGAGTGGACTAATTAAAGTGAGAAATAAGACAATCATTAACCAAAAGAAAAGAGAATATGAGCTAAGGAGATAACCATGTCACTTGTAATGCTAATTTCTTTGTTTGATAAAAATCTATAAAGAATAGAAGTTATTTTGATAGTGGGAGTGTCTGATTTGTGAAATACCACTGTGCACCCAGACTGGTGAAACACTGAAATAAACAACCAATGTGTCTCTCAAGTGTAGGATTATTTACCTGTCACACCCAAGTAACAAATCAAATTTTTCTGGACAACATATTGACCGAGTCACAGGGAGAACCATTTTTAATGGCCTGCTCTGTAACAGCAAAAGGGTCAAGAAATGCTTTTTAACTCTCAGAAACCGCAGGCAGCGATGACTTCTGCAACTCCAGTGTCCATGTAACACTAATCAATTAAAACTGCAGAAAGTGTTACCAAATTAGAGTTCTTTCCGCATAAGTATTCAGCTACAACTTTTATTGCAGGGATTTCCCGCTGTGACTGACAGAGGCCACCACACACACATTGCATCCGCTCTCTAAGACACTGGCCAGAGGCTTTAGCCCTGTCCCTTGCCTTTTGCTAAACGCAGTTTCAATCCCTGCTGCTCGACTTTCTTGGGAAAGTACAACAAAACTAACTATCACATTTTAGATAAAAGTCCATTACCTACTGTAAAACATCAACTCACCTTCAAGAAGCTTCCATTGATGCACATGGGAAGGGAGAGAAAAGAAGATACAATTAGATTTGGTGAGCCCCCCTGGTGCTGCACACAAACCCCAGCTCAGAAAGCAGTTACAGCAGAGGAGGAGAGCAAGGGTAGGGGATCACCCTCTAAGTTTGCCTAAGAGCATTCAAAGCAGTAGCACAAAGAGCCGCTGCCCTGAAAAGCAAAGAAGTGGGTGCTGCTGATTCTGCTCTCATTGCTGCAACAGGGTACAGGGGCAGCTTAGGAACCCCCTGAACACCCTCCTCCCCTGTTCCTGTTTCCTATTTGGATTTGACCTGGCGCTGTTTATTTCCCTCATTCTCCCAAAGCTGGCAAATTCTGCTATGATAACCTTAACACTTCACATTAGATGAACAGCTACTGAAGAAAGGAAGCCACAACAGAAATCTGGGAGTAAAGAATTCCACTTTGCTCTTCTATTGGCACCAGGCAAACTGGACTTGGGCTATGTGCAGTCTTTCAGACAATGCTATGAAACTCTAAGGAACACACAGAGCTGCCAGTGCCATCCTGGCAAGGGCTTCTCCCTCTGTGGACACCACCAAGAAAGGACTTGGAGGGATGGGCAAGTTGGAGCTTCCCAACAAGGGCTGTGCTTCCAGCCAGCTGCATGTGGCATCCCACCTAGGACAGCTGAGGAGACAGAGTGGCAGCTGAGACAGAGGCGGAGCTCCCACTCTGTCTCCTCCCCTGCCACAAAGCAGAAAGGACAAGAACATGTGATAAGAACATCATGCTTACATCTGTAATGTCATCCTGCCATGTCGGAGGACTCTCAAAACGATCTGGCCATTCATCAGAGTTAATAGAACTAGAAGAATATGCAGCTGTCAATTTCACAGTGCAAAGAGAAATACCAACACATAAAACTGCAAAAACATAAATAACCCCTAATTCTGATTTAGCAACCTTCCAGCCCAGAAACACACCAGTGCAAGAGCTTTTATGTACTGCAAGCATTACAGTGTATTGCAATCCATCATTTAAGAAACATTCAATAATGACTTCCTGAATGGAGAAGAAAGGTTTCTCTGGGATTTTGCTTTATTGTTGGGGGTTTTTTCCCATTAGTTCCCTTCAAGACAGGCCACTATGGTTCAAATCAGATTCCATCACACAGAATCAAGCAGTTTGGCAAAAAAACCTGTGCCTACTGAATATCAGAAATTACACTTTGGAGAGACACTTCATCAGTCACATACTCATCGTTATCTCTTGGTTCCTCTTCGTGGTTACTCGCCCATAGCTCTGCTGAATTCTCTGTGTCACTGGAGCCATGTGGGTGCTGCTGGCTCTGCTCCTTGTCCTGCACCTGTGAGTTGTCACCCTCCCTCGTAGAGGACTAGCAGGACGTGCTGACCATGAGCTAGAGGGAACCAGAAAGAACATGCAGCCATTTGAAGGTGAAGCCAATAATCTCACTGCAGACAGAGAGTTACCAACATGTAATACCTATTCTGATGAAGCAAAATCCCAGCCCAGTACCACAACTGTTCCCCAAGCTGCCATGTACTGCAAGCATTTCAGCATATATCAAGCCACACTGTAACAAATATTCAACCATGACAGCATGAAAAGAAAAGAAAGGTTTCCACTGGATTTTGCTATGTGTTTGTTTGGATTCTTTTGCTTACTTCTCTGCCAGACAGGCCACTATATTCCTGGTCTGAAGTTTCTGCACAGACTTCAGCAGAACCCAGCAGCTTGGAAAAACCTGTTCCTACTATGTACCAGAAATTAGAATTTAGAGAGATATCTTCCTCTCACATACCCACTATCTCCTGGTTCCTCTTCATCATCTTCATCATTCCTTGCCAGTGGCTCAGCTGAATTCTCTGATGCTCTGGAAAGATGTGGCTGCTGCTGGCTCTGCTGCCTGTCCTGAAATGGGGTAGAAATGCAACCACCGCTTAAGAACCACCTGAACACTGTACTTCCTGTGTCCCTATTTCAGTTCCCTAATTGGATTTGAGGTGGAGCCATGTCTTTCTCTCTCCCCCAAACTGGCAATTTCACCTGTGATAGCCTGAACATTACTTATATGAACAGCTACTGAAGAGGAAAAACCCTGTACCCAACCCTGCTCTTGCATTTGGTGCATGTGGAGCTGGGTCATGCAAATTCTGCTGTAAAATTTGAGGCCTTTTCTTTGCAAAAGTTCAGGAACAATCCTGTCAGGATATAACTACTGTGCTATGTTTTCTGCATGTTTCTGTTTTGCACAGCAGCAGTGACAACCCAAATTTGAGCAGATACACGGCACTGTGGGCTGGATCCAAGCATATTCTTACCAAATAGTAGGGGAAAATGAAAAAATACCAAATGTGACCCTTTTAAAGACTTCTTGGAATAAGAAACCAAATTATTGTGTACCCCAGTCATCCGCACTTGCATTTTACACCTCAGTGACAGAGGTACCTTAAACTGATGTTGCAGCTAAAACGCTTCTTCCTTGGGAAGTCAAAGACTTCCTGTGCTCTCCTTTAAATCACAGAAGCAACAACCTTTTAGGTTGCTCACCCACTCTCTGCAAGGAGTTCTCAGGCATGCTAATATGTTCATGAGTGTGTTTGTGGCTGACTGGGAACTGCTGACTAAACTGTGGCAAATCACAGCCATCATTCAAACTTTGAGGCCAGGGTACTCAGTAAGATTTCAGAAGACAGGCAAGAAAAGTAATTTGAATGCAAGATGGTGAGGAGTGTGCCAGTCATTACTTACCCCAGGAGACTCATCATCACTGATAGTGATGACTTCAGGCTCAGAAGAGTCACCTGTGAGATCTATGACTTCTACACCACCTGAAAAGAGAGAACATTAGAACCATGGTCAGAGACTGCAGAGGAATGCAATGGGCTGCCACTGTAGAACAGGCTGTGGCTGGATTCACCGTGCCCTCAGGTTCAGGAATGTGTCCAGCATTTCACTCAAGCTTTGCCCTCAACAGTGCACAGGGAGCAGGGCAAACCCTGTGCAAAACAAGCTGAAGGGCAGCTGAGCTCCTCACAGGTTCTATTGGATGACAACAGATTACAGGAGGTTCACATCAACAGATGATTCATTTCATATAGGGGAGTGTTTAGCACACAGGAAAAAAACCAAACAAACAAACCACAGCAATTCCTCATTTTATGGCACAATGCTGTAGATTGGTTCCTTGAAGGATGGGGCAGAGTTAATGACAGGTTTTCCTCATCTCCATCAAGCTTGGCAGATCTCCAACTCAGCTTGCCACCCTCCACTGTGGCAGCTGCAGTGACTGCCAGCTCATCAGAACACACGTTCAGGTGTTTGAGCAGCACTTGAGGACCTTTCCTACACAGCTCATCTCCCACTTGCAGCCAATAAGAGCAGCAATAACAAGCAGCAGCAATAATGATCTCAGGAACAAACCAAAACCGTTGTCAGAAGGCTTGCTGTTTAGGGATGCCATACCAGGAGCTTCCTCAATCCCAAGGTTTCCCTTCCTCCCCAGTAAAGGGCCTAGAAACTGGCAAAAGCACATGGCCAGATGGTCTTCAACCCTCCAGAAGCCGCTTCTGTTCTTACCAGGCTCAAAAGCAGGTGTGCCACTTTCCTTAAGCTCTGTTGGCTCCGTCTGCAAAGTTCCACCTGCGCTGGAGGGCAGCAGCCTGCTCCGTTTCCGAGCTGGTCTGGAATCAACTGCTCCTCCAGGGCGCTTTCGCTGATGCTGACAGGGAACAAAGCCTTAGCATTTTCTCTGCCACTAATATTAACATGGCCCTTGGGTTTTGCAACACCAATGGCAGCACACAAGGATACAGAAAACACTCCTGCAAAGGCTGGAATACACACCAAATGCTGCTGTGGGCCATTCCCACCCAAGCACATCACATCAGGGAAAAGACAGCACCCCTGATCTCTGACAAGCCGCCTCCCCAAGAAAAAGCCTGTCTCAATGGCTTGAAAATGAAACCAGTTCCCAATTCCAGCAGGTTGCTGCTCACACCGTAAGCATTTCTGCACTACTGTTAACAACCACAGAGAGTCAAAACCTTCCCAATTCCAGAACATCAAGTTTTCAAAGGTTTCTGTTCCTCTGCATTTGCTACAAACTCTTGAAATGCTTTCTAGACATATCCTGGAAAATGTTTCAAGAATCAGATTTGCATTGAGTTGCAAAATACTTACTGAGCTCATGGTGTTTAGTGATCAAAAACAACCACCAAAATAAGTGGGACAAACTCCAAAAAAGGAATGTCAGGGATGTGATCAATCCCTTTGGTTCCTTTAGGCAGCCCACTGCAGATTTTTTGGCGTGACAGAAAACTGCTCTTCCAAACCTATCAGAAAAGTAGAGGCAAGATTATCCATTTGGATTGCCAGTTTCTTGAACACTCCTATGCCCTAAGACTCCCATTCCCAAGGCTCCAGTTCCTGTCCAAAGCTGCCGCTGCCGCCCCCCAGGTCAGGGCGCTCAGGGCCCTGCCCAGCCTGGCCTGGAGCGGTCCATGGACAGGTCATCCACAGCTTTTTGGGCAGCCCGTTCCAATGTCTCACTGCCCCCTCAGCTCTCCCGAACACCCAATCCCAATCTCCCCTTCTCGTCTAAAACCCTTCCCCTTCCCCATGGCTCTCTGCCCCCTTTGGGCACCGCAAGGCCGCAGTGAGGCCTCCCCGCTCCCTGCTCCTCCCTAGGCTGGACAGCTCCAGCTCTCCCAGCCTGGCCAGGGGACAGGTGCTCCAGGCCCCCACACATCCCCACGGCTCCTCCGGCCCTGCTCCACACGCACATCCTGCTGGGCTGGGCACAGCCCGGCGCAGACGGGCACAGCTCCGCACGTGGGGCAGGGCAGGGGCAGAGCAGGGGCAGAGCAGGGGCAGAGCTGCACCTCCAGCGCCCTCAGCCTGAGCACCCTGAGCATCACTGGAGCCTTTCTTTGTTTTAAAAGTCCTGAAAAGTGCATTCTAAGTTCATGAAAGCAAACACAGAAGCACTAATTTGGTTTGGGAGAGAAGGTGTTTGTGCAGTTGGATAACAGCTTGCATGCTGAGGTGTCGGGGGGGATTTCTATGTTTGCGCTCACCTTCTTTGAGACAATGAGCACAGTGTCACCTGTGCATCCCTGGATATGCCTTGAAGGTGCAATGCTTAATTTGTAATCAAAGGGGAAATGTATCTAAATTTCTTGGGATAAACAGTTACTTTGCAAATAGACTGATAGAGAAACTTAGCAATTTTTAAGGAGTAAAATCCCAAGGCAATAAGGGAAGTGTACATATGCTTTTCATTGCTTTATAGAATTTTCTTTGATACAATCTGACTTCCTTTCTCAGTTAAAAAGATAAAAAATAGAGAAATATCTGAGCTTTAGCTTTGTGTCTGGATATGAAGCCACATGAGGTTTTTGAAGGGCCCCACACAAGTTTTTCAAGTATTCTCTAAGCCTCCAGGTTCCCCAGCCCCAGGAGCACCCAGTTTTGTTGGTTTTGCATGGGTCAATTTTTGGAGAGGAGGAAAGAAGGCAGCCGGGAAAGTGAGGCATTTCTGCCATAAGCTTTCCCTGTGCCAGGCAGAAGCAATCACTGAGTGCCTCTGAGAGCAGGCGCGCTGCTCAGCCAATTAGAAAAGCTGGTGCCGCCTCTAGGACAACATTTTTAAGAGAGGAAAAAAGAGAGGAAAAGAAGCTGGCTTTCTCTCTGCCCTCCGAGGGGTGCTGCGGGGCAGCGGGGCCCCTTCCCGGCGGGCTCGGGGGCTCTTTCCCAGCAGGGCCGCCGGGCCGTGCTGCCGGGGCTCATCCCAGCGCCGCCAGCAGCTAGGTGTTGTTAGTTATGGTTTGCATTTGTTCCAGTTAATTTGTTGGGTGTTGATGTGTGCTGGAAAATGGGGGGGGTTGAACACCAAACCAAAAGGGAAGTACACCCAGCTCAGTTGAATCCTTACTAAGAAGAACGGTTCTCTTTTGCTTTAATGACTTTGTCTCCATTTAATTGTACCTAAGAGTTTATTTCTAACACCTCTCTCCCAGCAGCTCCGAGCTGCGGCGTGGCACAGCGCTTGCTGTGTGCCAGAGAGCACAAAGCAGGCTGGCCTGCTGGCCCTGAATATTTCTGCAGAGCACTCTGCAGGTCACAGCTTTGCTGTGGCTCAGTGCAGAAGTGCGGGGTTGCAGGCGCTGCCTCCCAGAGCTGTGTGAGGCACTGGCTCCTGCAGCCGTGAGCTGACAAGCTGTCCCTGCCTCCCGCTGGCCCATGGTCCCCTGGCACAAGCGCCGTGCCTGAAGGACGCTGCCCTGTGCTCCAGCCTGCCGAGCAGCCCGGCTCCTGCCCCGGTGCCCAGAGTGCTGCACACACTGCTGACCTTTGCCAGGAGTCGCAGGGCAGCCGGCACAAGAGTGGGAATGCTGAGCCAGGCCACCGGCCCTCGGCTGCCCTTGGCCTTTCTCTCCTCGGGGCAGACTCCAGAGGGCCAATGCCTCCAGGCTGGGCTGTGCCCAGCAGGGCTCCGCTTCCCCTCGGGAGCAGCCGGCTGCGCTTGGCCTCTGAGAGCGGAGGATGTGCCCGCTGCCAGCAAGAGGCACGCAGGGCCGGGCTGTGCCTCCTGCAGCTACAAGGGCCTCCTTGCAGCCTGCCCCTGCCCAGGCTCAGGCTGCTCCGGGCTCTGCCAGGGCTCTGCTGCGGCTCCACGCCGGGCAAGGCCGGGCCCGCTCTCACCTCACACTCGCTGACAGCTCTGCACCGCAGGAGACCTTTCAGAGCACCTCTCTGATCTTTCTGCTTTCTCCGCTGAGCAAGGCTCTCCTCCAGCCAAAGACATTGCCCTTCGCGATACAAATCCAAGTGGCAGGCACCCAAATGCTCTCGAGTCACAGCTGAAGGCCTGCATCTGCACAGGATGTTTTGGCTGCCCCATTTCCCTTTGGTTTTTCCTGCAAATGCCATTGCCCTTTCTGCCTCAACTAGAAATACTACAGCTGGCCAAAAGCTGCCTAGTGGGCCATATTCCAAAGACAGTGTGGTCTGGAGAGGATGAATGGACAAGATCCTTCCCCCACTTAAAAACCATACAAAAGAAGCCATAAGTGTGACTTAACACCCATAAAAAACAACTGGTAATTCAGAAGGAAATGTTGAGTTTTCTGAAGGAGTCAGAAGGAGGGCAGTCTTCCAAGTGAGTTGATGTTTCAAAAATTTATTTAATGAAAATCCTCCTCTACAATCCTATTCTACAAAACTCTTCAACAATCCTACTCTACAATCCTACTCCACAATCACACTCTACAATCCTATTCTACAAAACTCTTCAACAATCCTACTCTACAATCCTACTCCATAATCCTATTCTACAAAACTCTTCAACAATCCTACTCTGCAATCCTCCTCTACAATCTTATTTGATAAAACCCTTCAACAATCCTACTCTACAATCCTATAATCCTCGAAATTGGTTTTGGCGATGACATCTTGACTTGATTGTTACATTCTTCTCTTCTCCATCCACTTCAGGACAGTGATGAGTGGTGCCAGGATGGACACTGGCTTGGCTGATGTTACAAATGGATGCTGTCCAAAGGAAAAAAAAAACAACAAAGAACAGTGAACCATGACCTTCCAAGCTCAGTGCCTCACATACTCCATCAGGATGCCTCTAGTTCCTAGAAAGACCCAGAAAGTAAAACAATGGGACCATCTGCTCCTTAATTGTCATGGGCAGGACCTTGCCATCACAGGCAAACCTGGCCCTGAATCCCACTCATCCATTTATTCTGGTTTCTCCATCTTGCCGGGATTTTTGCCCTGCTAGTGCTCTAGAAATGGTGCTTTCTGTCCCTGGGGTTTCTTCCTTTCAAGAAGCTCCAATGACTCCCATAGGTCCCTGTCTTGGAAAGACAAGCACCATGCTAATTTCCACAGGCACACAGAGCAGTGTCTGCCTTTCCATGCCCCGCCCCTCCTGTGTGGGATGGCACCTTCCTTCCCAGCAGGGCCAGCCGAGTGGCGCTGGGTCCTGCAGTTCCCTCTCTGCCACACAACCTGGCAGTCAGCCTGGGCCAGTTCCCCTCTGCCTGAGCGTGCCAGGCAGCAGATGGGGCTGGGACAAGTCCCTCTCAGCTGTCCCTGTTTGTGTGCCAGAAACCTCTAAGGGTGGGGTGGGGGGCACAAACCAGGGCCCCTCAGAGGCTCACAGTGAGTCCCTCACAGCCCCTCCTGCCCACAGCCAAATCTCTCCAGAGTGCTGTGCCAGGACTGGCAGCCTTGGGTTCCTCCACCACCATTTCATGTCTCTCTACCCTGCATTGCTGTACTTCAGTTCTTTTACCATTAGATAAAACTGAACATCCCACCAAATCAGGGCAACAGAAACAGTCAGAAAACAGAACACCTGTCCTATGTTCTGCAGAGAGAGGTAGAGTTATTCAGTTTTGTGAAGAACGGGCCCCAGGGAGACTTTATTGCCACTTTGCAAGACTTCAGAGTGGCTTTGAAGAAAGTGGGGGACACCTTTTTTAACAGGGCCAGTTATAATAAAATGTGGGCAAATAGTTTTAAACACAAAGGGGATCTAATCAGAGTAGGTGTAAGGAAGACCTTGTGTACTCAGTGCAAGGTGCCACCCTGGCACAGGTTGTCCCAAGAGCTTGTAGGTGCCCCATCCCTGCAAGCATTCCAGGTCAGGTGGGACAGGACTCTGAGCAACCTGATCTCTTTAAAGATGTCCCTGCTCATTGCAGGACACTTGGACCAGAGGACTTCACAGAGCCCTGCCAGCCCAGCCCAGTCTAGCACTCCTCAGCATTTTCATTTGAAGAGCACCAAGAGTGGAGCTGAGGAGGAAGGGGGCTCATCTGCTGCCACGGGCCTCGCACACTGTTTCACCTCAGCCCCTTGGCATTTTACCTGCAGGAGCTCCTTGGCAGACCAGCGCTGCTCTTCGTCTGTCTGCAGGCAGCAGCTCAGAAAGTCACACAGGTGAGGCGAGAATCGGTTGGGCTTCCGCAGCTGTGGTCTCTCTCCTCTGGCTATCGGGAGTTCAGCCTGCAGGAAAAGGAAACACAAGGCTCCACCTGCTTCTTTCCCATCTGTAACTGCTCTCCCAGAACCCATTGTTTAATCTCTGTTCTTCAGTGGCAGTTTCTGCCCTGGCAGAGACCCAGGGATGACTTTCCTTTACCAACAAAAAACCACGGCTTTTCCAACATCCCGCTGATCTTGCCTTGGCAGTCAATTTCATTGACTGACCCAGTTAGTGGGAGCTACATCAGCAAAGCTTCTTTCCTTCTTGGAGGATTCACACCACCTTGACAGGCTTTTCAGAAGATGGACTCTGCTACACTAACACTACTATTTCCAAGGATTAGTACATGAAAGGCATCTCTGCAGTGCTTGTTGGTCCCTTAAGCACAGTGGTCATAAACCAAAACTCATTGAGCTTCTTGTCCTCTTCTAGAAAACAGAGGTGCATGGGAGGCAAGAATGGAAATCCACCAGGTATTCCTCAGGGTGAGGAAACAAACATTTGGAATCTCATATTCAACACAGACCCTTTAAGACACCTGCACAAATGTATTGGGATGAAAATGCCGGCTTAGGCACACAGGAGCCACCTGCAGCTCTGTCTCTCAGCTGCACGTTTCAGCCTCTTTATGTGGCAAAAGGAAACCTTTCCAAGGTTCAAATCAGAAGAAGAAGCACCATCCCGATGGTCACCCTCTGCTCATTTGTATACTCAAGTCAATGCATTAATGGCGTCCCCATCGCAAAAAATGTCTGTAAGAAGTGGGAGGTTTTGACAGGCTCTCCGTGACACCAGGCTGCAGCCTGGTCTCCAGAAAAATGCTCATCACAATAGTAACAGCTCTGTGCTGGTGGCACTGAAATAGATGGTGACCAAAAAGACTTCGTTATTATCCTCTTCAACCCAGAGGAAAATTTCCAAGCCCAAAACAGCAAGCACACTCCCCTGGAGTATAAATAATTATGGCAGCTTTCTTTCCTTTTCCCACACCCTCAGAGGTCACAAAGGGAGCTTTATCCTGTCTCTCTGCAACTGAGCCACTGGACATGGTGGGGAGCTGGAGTCCTCACTGCCCTTAGCACTGTGCAAGCCAGAGATGGCCCTGCTCCTATAGTAAAGGAACACAGCACCAGCATCAACCGCCCACGTTGGATCCCAGCCCCAGGCACCAGGCTGCAAGCTCATCAACTTTTTAAAAGACCCAGAAACAGCCAAGGGTTTAGTGTAACTGCAGTCGGAGAAAAACACATCCTCAACTTATCCAGGCCACCCACACACATGACTGAGCAATGTACAGATTATTTGAAAGCCTGAAAGTTTTGAAGACCCACAGGACTTGGAAAAGATGCTACAGTGTGGAGGAAAATCAATGTGCTGTGGTTAAAAAAAGAAAAAGAAAGCAAAACTGTTGGGGAAGATGAAACCGGAAAACCTTTACAAATATGTATGCCTGGCAAAAGATTTTGAGAATATGGAAACTGTAAGCGAGATTGAAATGAAAAGTAAGCTTTGAGATAGTTACTAGCCTTAGTTACTGAACAACTGGAAAACAATGGTATGGCCAGCTGAAGGTAATCCCCTTTTGATTAAACAACACCCTCTGCTGGCAGACAGGTCCAAGGGTCAGAGCAGACCCTACTAGCTTGGCAGAAGGGGTCCAAAGAGTAGTTTTTAGGGTTTAAAATGTAACACAGTATGGTAATGTAATGATTCTTATAGGCTGTAGCTAAATACTCTAGTATTTGTATCTTGGACTAGATTGGTTAGTGAAAATTTGAACATTCTGCACAGAAGAAGATTTATTGTCTTGTAACAGGAACTTCCTCACTCTTTCGGGTCTCTCTTTTGGGCTCCTCTTTCGGGCCTGCTCCGAGCTGTGGCTGGCAGCTCCAAGCAGGGCCCTGCATCCACACCCTTTGCAATAAACCGAAAGTTCCAAGACCTGGCTTCAAAGATCTTTCGTCTCCATCCATCCCGACCGTCCTACCCACTGTCACTCCTACACAAAACTACTTGGGCATTGCTTTGGTGGTTGTGTCTTTTTTTCTTTTTCTTTTTCATTTTCTTTTCTTTTCCGATAAAATTGAAACTGGGAAGGTGTAACGTCAATTTCTTAGGATATTTATCACATGTCTAACCTCTCCACTGAAAAATTCTTGCCCTTCAGAGACAGAGCACCAACGGAGTTCAAAAAGCAAATGAGAAATGTCAGGCAGGTTGCAGGCCAAAATGCCAGGTTTCTGAACTGCTACTTCCCTTCTGATGCAACCGAATTTACAGCAGATGCTGATGTGCTGCAGGGACATGTTTAGAAGGGGACCTTGGTGGAAGTGGTGCCAGCAGATGGCAATGGGATTTGTCCAATGGCACACAGGACATGGGACAGGTGAGAAAGACAAGTGGGATCAGGGAGTATTTGCACCTTACCGAAACAGGAGTTTCATTCCTGTGAGGAACTTCTCGTTCCACCATTTCGATGCCCACGATTCCAAAAGACCATATGTCCACTTTGGGGCCATATGGTTGACCTGTCAGCACTTCAGGCGCCATCCAGCCAGAAGTGCCGGCCACTGAGCTCCGTCTACGCTGCTCAGGGGTGAGCTGAGCAAAGAGGCCAAAGTCAGCTGTGGACAAATAAACATACCATGAAAGCCAGGTCAAGTTAGGAAATCAAGCAAAAGAATTCCCCACTCTCAGTCTATGTGTTGTTGAATCTCCTGAAGAACTGTCCACACTCAGTTTCCTTGGGGCTTTAGCCAAGGAAGTATGGAATTGGCCACTTCCAAAAAAATCACAGTTTTTTAACGCTGCTCACAGCAGTGGCCTTTATTCCCCTGAAGCTTTAGATTGTAGCTCCCTCCCTCTGGAAGAGACACAAACACACCAACGCCACTCTTGACTTCTCCTGGTTCCTTATACCTCTGTGCACGTTGCAACCGTGCCTTCAGCTCACAGCGGTGGGGCCCTGCACTGCCACCAGCACCATTTCTGGGGAGTTGGCAGCCACTCAAAGCAGCCCCTCACCCCACATCCCTGAACGCTGCACCTGACCAGGAATATACTG